TATAATATACAGTAATTTTAAAAGTATAAATCTATATTTATAGAAATTCTTAATAAATATACTGAAGATCTATCTTCACCTATAAAAATATTTATAAATTAAGTTATTAAAGGCTGCAAGTTAGTAATGGATAGTACAGTAATTCTAGTAAAAAAGAACCGGGATTTATATATTATATATAAAAAGTAACTCCAAAAGAAAAAGTAATTAAAATAGTAGATAATTTTTAAAAAAGATATCTTAATTTAAAAAGTAAGAGTTAAATTATAATAATTAAAAAAGATCTAAATAAAAAAGATAATATTTTAATTATCTACTCAGATATTTTTCTACTGTAGTGAGTGCTATATAATTAGCTATAAAAGAAATTAATATTTAAATCTCTGTAATAAGTAATAATATATAGATTTTACTAATAATAATATTGTTTGAATAGCTTTATTCTTGCTTGTGTTGGGTGTGTAGTAGGTGGGTGTGTAGTAGGTGGGTGTGTAGTAGATGGGTGGCTGGTGCGGGCGGATGGCCGGCGCGGCCGGGAGTTACATTATACTATGGATTAATGATTAAGGTTAGTTGATCGGAAGTAGCATTCTCCTAGATCAGAAGATATTTGTCCTTGTGGTGATCGTAAGGTGATGTGGGATTATATATCTCTCAGCTACTAGTTCGTACCTTGTTAAATCGACTTGGTCTCGGTTTATCATTAAAATGAAGACTATTTATCTGGAACTTACTTCCTCCTTCATGTCCAGAAATAAATAAAGGACAGACACATATATATACTCAAACATATGATCATTAGAAGGATTTCAAATGAGACGGACCAAATCTTGAATTTGAAGATGCATATTACCATGAAGAATTCCCTCCTAGAAATCACATAATATATGCAAATCAACTTCTCATAGACAGTGTCCCTCTTATAAAGTTTCCCATTTTCAAAGGCCTGTGGATATAACTACATTCCTCATCTCAACGGCACCAAATTAACCATGTATGGAATCATCTGCATATTTTCACCCTCTCATAGCCGACCCGCGGCACCCTACCCCAACACATATATAAATAAATCAAAAAAAAAATTACTTAACAAAAAGTACCAGCCAGTACCTCTAGGAGGCCCGCTATATGCAAAATTACCATCCCTCGACATGCAATGTTCATCACCGATACCCCGCCAACTCAGCTTTTGGACCATTATTCGAGGGCAATTCCGCAGGCGCAGACTGGCCATCTAATTCGCTCGCTGGGGCGGAATACGGCTGCTGAGTCTGACTGTAGGCGTATGCCGAGTATTGAGGGCTAGGGTCCTGCGGTTGGAGATGCATCTGTGTCTGCGACTCTGGGCGTTGCTTATTGTGCCGTCGCAGGAAGTAGAAAAGAAGGCCGGCTATTGCTGCGACGCCGGCGACACCGCCGACGACGCCTCCGGCTATTGCGCCCGTGTTGGTGCTTGAGCCCGAACCTGAACCGGAGGATGCTGCTGCAGTGGTTGTTGCTGCTGATGTTGTGGCGGTTGATGCGGATGTGGATGTGGGGGCTGATGTTGCGGTTGAGGAGGCTAGGAGGAGTGGTTCCGTATGTTAGGGATGAATCTGAGGGTATCTATCTGTCTTAAAGGGTAAATAAACTCACTTGTTGCGATCAACCTCAAGGCGCTGTAGCTGGCATTGCCCGGCGAATCGGGACTCAAGCAGCCCACCCAGTCTGTCCCCTTGAGTCTAAACCCACTCTCGTCCTCGGTGCAGCAGAAATACCCATCGTAGTCGTACATATTCCAGGAGCTATTGGCGCAGGTGGCAGGTTTGATCTCGGAAGTGCAGTCCGTCCAAGTCGGACAGCAGACATTGTTCTGAATCGAGTACTCTTTTCCGGGACATTTGGACCCGGATGGGCAGCAAGCGTGCCAGGTTTCCCATGTTGGTCCGCATCCGACTTCGTCGCTGAGACATGAATTATTGCGGCGGATGGCGTAGCCTTGGATGTCCGAGGTCGACATGGTGGTAGTAGGTTTAATGAATGGTACTGGCACTGGCACTGGATCTGCGTAGGGGACGGTAAAGGGCCGAGGCAAGGCGCATTCTCGGGGCCGAAAGGATGAGAGAAGAAGTTGAAGAAGTAAGGGGACAAGGCTGATTATTTTGTCGAATGCGCGCGGACCTGCTCGTCAGACGCATCTCGCTTATTCAGCTCGTCTGGTTTGCAAAAAGTGATCCTGATTCCTGGGGGGCCCTTGGCTTGCTCTAGTTTGATTGGGATCATCTGCTTTTGGGTAGAGACACGAACGGGGTCGGGGCTTGGATGTTTCTGTGCCGATCAGGGTCCACAGTGCGGGATGGAGTGTGTGTTGTTTCGCCAATTTGCAGAGTTTTGCTTATCTGATAACGGGGGGTTGCTGTCAATCGCGTGTGTATAAATAACTCCGGTCGGCATGATTCATGGAAGTTAAACCAGACGACTGCTGGGTTATGCTGGAGGTGGAGGGAAGGTTTTAAGTTGGAGTAGATATCGTATGAGGAGTCCGATGGACAGCACACTGCGGAGAAGTGGCAGAGCAGGTAAGCAAAGCAGAGCGTGTGAATTTATCACCTTGTGTGTAACTCGAGGAATTGAAGAGTCATCTGCTGCTATACTGCAAGCATTTTGATATTCGCACTTCGTTTACTTTGAATGCTGCCATCGAGCAATGATCGATTTTTGTTGAGCAGTAAATGTTTTCTGCAACGACACAGTTATCTAAGCTTACAACTCGCCGACTCACTTGGGCTAGACATGCCCCACTTTGAATAACTATGAAGCCAATTATGGTCCGAGTTGAGATGGAGGCACGCGAACAGACGAACACGGCAACATCCCTGAAAAAGGGACCACGTCCGTGCACTATGGGTCGTCCCGCTTTCCCCCGTTTGGCATCGGATTGTCCGAGAAGAGGCTCTTTGAATCGTGCTGGATAGCCGAATCAACCGGGTGAGGCGAAACAGCTTTGAGGAACATATACGTTCGTTTCATTATCCATCGATGACAGGCTACCATTCTCACTCGTCTCTGATTCGTTATACTGGTATGGATGCTGAGTATGAGCGGATGATATATCCGTTCATCGAAACATTGGTTCGACAGAGGATGTGTATTTACAATTCACCTGGCTTTATCTCCCCGACTGTTGTGAGTTAATTAAATGTGCCATATTGGCGATTTTTCTGGACGCCGGGGTGCCGTGGTAAATGCCAGTCAATAGAGCAGTACAACTTAGTCGAGGTGTTGTAATGCGGTGCGGGATGTCGCTAGAAGGGTATCGAGGTGGCACACTTGCATGTAACTCAGTGTCTCAATGTGTCACTTCCTCTGCTTTGCTGAAGAGCGCCCACGGACACGATCCGGATATCTGAGCTGGCAGCCCGTATATGCCTCTATCATCCAGGCTACCGACCGCAGACACTTGTTCAACTTACTCATCTAAGTAAAGGCTGCACCTGGCTGTACAAGTAACACCAAGGCTGACTGCAAGGATATATGTTGCTGTTGGTCTCTCAGCAGCCGTCTCCTAACCCGGATAGTAACAAGAACTTCTAATGCCGGGCACAGACCAGCAATGAATGTAGCTGACCAGGTGGCACAGTCTGAATCATCGGGATATAGACGGTGACCTGCCTTGGACCGTAGTACAGGTCTGAGCCTTCGCCTGGGATGGTCAACGTTGGAGCGGTATTGGTGCTGAGTCTGGGGCTAGGATGTGTACACCAGTGATACGATTGGTGTAACTCGCCTCTGCGTGCTCGAGTGTGATGGAATCTGTGTCTGTGTTGCTCTTGCACGGCAGCTCGATCTCTGGACTTTCCAAGCTTGGGCATACGGGATGGTCATTGCGGCTGTAGCATTGTCCCCGTTGAGACTACAAGCCTTGCCGGTGGTTGAGCCTGTACAACCACAGGATGGTCGCGGCTTCCTAGATATTCGGGAACATTGGTCCTGGTTTGTCACACGCATAGGTCCCATGCTATTGCGCAATTCGGTAAGTCGGAGCTGGCAGGTAACTGAGTCGGGATACAGCTTGATCACCGAAATGCGTGACGTATGTCCAACCTCCAGAAATGGTTATATCCTTCACAGACATTGTCTTTGACAATTCATTGTGACACTGGCTGATGTCGTCATTGTTGGGGCTGTGTTGCTTGAGAAGCTTGTCGATTAGCTGTGGGTGAAGTGGATATGCATTCAGCCGCTGAACTAGGTATGCAGCCTTATGGGGAGAAAAAGGACTGCTACGCCACACAGCGTCAATTCCAACCACTTGCCATCAATACTGATGATGAAGAAGACGCAACATTGTCGCACACATGTGAAGTGCAAGGATACCTAATATTTATTTCCGAGTCGACTTCATTTGCAGTGTAAGGCTGAGAAGCTGCGATGATTGGGTAAGTGGATCTGGTGGAGCCACCGAAGCTTCCGAACCAAAAATTTTCCAGTGGCATCACCCACCACCACATGCGAATCTCCAAAATGCAAAAAGAGAAGCCCAACGCGGGGCTCGAACCCGCAGCCTTGAGATTAAGAGTCTCACGCTCTACCGATTGAGCTAGCCGGGCTAGTTCGGTGAAAGAGACATTCTGTACACGGTATAAGACGGCGACATCAGCTACAATTCCTGTTACGATCACTATTAGATGGGCGATTCGACCCTCTTTGCGCTGTTGTCAATGAAAGGTATGGGGAAGATTGGCGCCTAATGAGTGGCAATCGCAAGGCAGACTTCCATATTGAGCATGGTGGGTACGGCCATCATGAGACAAGCTATCCCAGGGTTGACCAACATTCGTTATATATATCCGCCGTAAGCATTGGCTCTCCCGGACCTTCCCAACTAACAATCGTACCCAGTGAATAGACGCGCTGGAGCCTAGTAGGCTGAGAGACCGTGGCCTGGGATGCAAAAAAGCCGCAGGGTGGACACCATGCGCATGCTCGTCATGCCCGTTGCGCCATTATCGGTCGGATATTCACAAGGCAGTCCCAATGGACTGGTACGGTTGCTGTAGCCTGGGAAAGCGAGAGAAATAGTGGACAGTAGTACAGCAAAGACGGAGAGCTGAAACGAAAACGAGCCTCTGGGAAAGCTGGCGTCACCGCGATAGGATACGAGGTGACGATTTCCTTGCGCGCGCGTCAAGCGAAACGAAAAGACAGAACCGATCGGACGGTCGATCAGTAATAGAAGGCATAGAACCATCAGCACTTGCAGGATGCATGATCGCACGCAGATACCTCGTGGGTTGAACTGTGGCTGTAGCGCCGGAGTGGCAGAAAGGAACGCTCTCGGCCAGTCATCCTGTGGCTGAGGCGCAGCAGAGTATCGAGACACATGGTCTCGATGACTTCATGGCTACTAGCGTAAGGGGTAGTCTGGGGCTCAGACATCTCCTTATCACGAAGTCGGCGATCATGGGGCTGCTCGTATTGGATCGCTGGGGAAACAGGTTCGAAACACCTATTCTTAGTCGGTCGCGATCGAGGCAAAAATAGAATAGAAGCGATCGAGAGGAAGCCAATATTGTAGGTTACCAACAGAATGGAACCGAGCCATCTCTCGTCTCAGATAATGCGGGTCAAAGGAGAGAGCGGCTGCATGGCTAATGAGCATTGGCATGGACATGGGAGAGTTAACGCGTGAAACGGACTACCGCAACGATGGATACTGACCAACAATGGGCGGAGGTGAGATGGGGATGCTGACGGTCCCTGAAAGACGGGCGGATTATGGTGTCATGAACTAGGGGAGTTCGTGTTGAGAGGCCAGAGAGGAGGAAAGGTGGCTACTACTGGCGTGCGGCTTAGTTTCTAGACACGAGGAGTCAAGCCACAGTTGGGCTGGCCACATCTTGAAGAGCACTTCATCGTCGAACTTTAACCCGATGACTCGACCCTTCCCCGACCCTAAAACAGGTATAGTACTCCCCTCCTGGACAGGTTGAGTCGGTCATTGCTAACTGTATTGTGTCTAGTGTGTCCACTCGCCATGACCATTCTGTCCCCGAATGGAGTCACAGGGACTGGTTAGTCTGACAGGAGGGGGTTGCTTGGGACCATGCTAGGGCCAATCATGAAAGCGGATGAGGAGCGAACGGGTTGCAACAGGCGCCGGACCAACAACAAACTACAAGTTAAGAGGATCAGCACTGCCTGCTTTGCACCAGCCACACTCCCCATGTCTAGTATTAAGTGTATTGCTACTAGTCCCAAGTCGTCCTGAGGCAGGCTCCCGTTGAGCCTTAGCAGTCACCCGCAGGCTGCCATTCCCTCCACCACAGTTTCTTACTGTTTGCTAAATTCCGAAAAAAGAAATTCACAATAAATCTCCATTTTGCTAAACTTTTTTAGTCTCTCCGCCTGTGACCCATTCGTCATGGCTGCTCTAGCGCCCCCGGGACCACTGTCTCTCTGCTCTAACATTCACTGTATGCCAATCATGGATGCCTTCCATCCTCCTCAACTATATAACTTCCCTCTCCCACCCCCCATGAACCTCCTCCCCATTCATCTACTCACTACACACTTCTCTCAAGCATCCATACATACACTTCACCAAAAGACCTTTACATCTCTACTACCCACATCTTCATCACACTTAAACAAGTCCAAACTACCTTGTTATAGTCCTCGTGATCCATCCGCCAGTCACGCTGTCGCCCTCCAAGTCTCTCCGTTTCTGGCCCCCCTTCTACTACTCCATCCAGGAGACTCTTCGAATCGAAAGACCTCGTTATCGCACTCGAACACCTCTCCGTCGTTCAGCAACTATGCCTGCTCCTATCGAGCAGCCCTCCGAGCCCGTCGTGCTCGTGCGCGACCCCGAGGACGATGAGAGCTACGTGATCTCTGCCTATGAAGGCCACGCCGACCACTGCACTCGATGTGCAGACCCGATGACTGCATATGAAGAGAAGCGCTCGCTCTGCAAGCGTGGTGCCCAGTATGCCCGCGACGTGACCGAATACCTCCGCAGCAAGAACGGAAAGATCTACTCCGTTGTTGACCTTGAGCGCAACCGATCGACCCTGGTCAGGGTACCCCTGAAGTGCGTCTCTGTGCGCCAGCTGCTCCTGGCAATCGAGAATGGTCTGCGTGTGAACAACAAGGAGGAAGTCACCGCTCGCGAGCGGCCGATAATCAGCCATGAGCCAGCCCCTGTCCGCCGGACTGCCACCCAGGAGGATATGGCCTGTACTGCAATCATTGAGCGAGAACCACGCTCTCTGAGGCGTCACCGGGTCATCGTCTACACCTCTCCGCGGAGCTCTCCCAGCCGTGGGTCTCTGTATGAGGCCGACGCCGCTGACCGCATTGCGCGTGTCAACCGGTCCTCGCGCATCTACCGGCCGAGCGACTACTACCGCTGAGGGACATGAGCAGAGCTTCTGATGCATTCATTAAGGTTTCACGCATGCGCAATTGTGGATATATCTGCGGTGCAGACAAGTCACCATTATTATCACCGACCCGGTCCCGTCGCAGCAAAGGCTAGACCAGCCTGCGACACTGGCACGAGCCAGACCCATACCCGATGGTAGCCAGCTTATCTATGGGTCCTCGGGGATATTTATACCCCGCCTAGAGATTGGCTACATCCTTGTTGGAGGAACTGGATTCCTTGCTTACTGTTCTGTTACCGACCTGCTGTCTGATTCTATCCTGTTTGGAGTGAAGACGAGGAAACGAACGAAAGCAACAAAAACAGGCGGAAAACACAAAATCACCCACCAAAAAAAAGAAAGAAACGCAGGGAAAGGAGGAATTTCCTAGGCTTCAGTCTGCACACTGCAGCTCTGACTCACTCCTACTCCAAGTGGTCAACGGGCACACCCACCATCCGATGGCTGCAGCTCACCTGCATGCAGTCCGTCCCCCGACCGATGATCCACCCGGATCATCCCCTTCCCCTCATTTGGTCTTTTTTCATCGGGGACTCGAACGAGTTACACCCACTTTTCCTTTGTCTTTGCAATGATTCGTGCTTACGCGTCCAATAAGTGATGCTGTATTTTAATATGAAATTAATGCAATAACTGCCAAGTGGTCTTTCTGCAAGTCTCACTCTTCTGCAACGTAGCCAACCACTTTTAACCCACCAGTAGTACTACTACTGCTAGTTACTCTGCATATTGCATGTGCATAGACAGCCTCATTTGTCTGCCTAGCCAGTTAGCCACATAATATACTCCGTACTATCCTCTCCTATACTACCCTACTACTATACCCTCCCTCGGCACTGCGGCTCTATCCCTGTCCCCCCTCTTCCTTAGCAGCCACCCAGCCAGCCTCTAACATTCACCCGCGCAAAGTTTATTTCCCATCGTGCATCGTGCATTTCCTTCCTTCTTACCACTTATACCCCGGTACACCGTACATGAACATACATTGCGAGTGAGTGAGTCATTCCAGTAGTCAATGTACCTACCCTATTGGCTCGAACCTACGTATTGGATTCTGCACTGATCCTTGTCCCAGATGCATACTACCACTACTTCTCTAAACCTTTGGAATAGCACTGCACATGAAACTCCCACCACATCACAACACAAACAAAAGACCTTGTTTCCACAACATCATGTACTAAGCCAGGAGGCTGGTAATTATTACCCATTTAGTTAGATAATTAGTTAACTACTAGGTATTGCACCGTTGAAATCCAACCCGCTACGCTACGTGGTTCCTCTGTCACTGTACCTGGTGGATCAGAGTCCCCACTTGCGGGTACTCCACCGGCTCTGGCCTCGACTCGAAGTCTGGGTACATGGTGGAGACTGGTGTCTATACTTAGTGGGTAGGTAGTGTATGCCACAGTGACAGCAAGTGAGTGTTTGGTGTATGTAGTGGGTGGGTACTATGTACGTATACGTAGTGAGTAAGATGGTGGTGGTGGTGGTGGTGGTGGTGGTGGTGGTGGTGGTGGTGGTGGTACTTTTGCTTCCGGCCGGATCAGCGGGTGCTAGCCCGGATGCTAGTATAGTAGTTACTGTGGATCATGGTGATACGGATGGGATGCTGTTCCTGTCGTTAGGTACTTCTGAGGTAGTAGTATGGGGCTGTTGGGCAGGTACTGCTACTATCTAGATACTTACTAGTCAGTTAGTGAGAGCTTGCTGTGTCTGTGCTGTACGTAGCTAGCGAGCTAGTAGCTACAACTACGGACTAAATATAGTAGTGCCATCGGCAGTTGAGATAGCTATTACCGGGGTGTGCTCATACCGTTTTCGGTTATTGTGGATAGCTTCAATACCAATATGTGATGATCATTGGTAGGTACTAATGTATACGTCTATCGGGGAACGATAGAGATGGGGTAATTCTCCGAAGATAGTACCTACTATGGAGCTATAGTACGGCCCGGGGTTAGGCTAGCTCATCATCAACAACATTGCTGGTTTGATTTTGAAACCTGAAACCTGGCTAGTTAGCTAGAGTGGAGATGTAACTGCTGTCCAGATTGCATCCAGACTGATGAGATCGACGTCTGTTATCGGGTGATTTAGCTATCTATTCATGAGGAGATGTGTCTGTGCGTCAGTCTAGAGTGGTCGGTGATGATCATAACACTAAATGATAATGTCCTGAATAGGTAGGTTGCTGAAGAATGGGGATCCACTTGGGATGTCCGTATATTCTGTTGGAATAGCATAGGTCCATGGGACAACAAGTACAGTATCACACCATCGTACGTGAATTTGTAGTATGCTGTCAGACTGTCTGGACACTTGCCTGTGGATCAATGGTTGGAGAGGCGCTTGTGTTATACTTTATGCTGTGTATTGGGTGGGGAGAGAAGCCATCAATGGGATTGAGGTAGCATTGAACATAGCATTTGAGTTGTGGCTGTTGACCTTGGAGACAGACGGACAGGTTCCGAGATGATCTAGGGCTGCACTATGTGACTGACCACTGTGGTAGCGTACCATGGGTCATAGGTACCAGAATTTCATAGATGCCCTAAGCAGCTAACAAGGAGCATCGGGGACTATGTAGTATAATGCCCGATTGTTGCGCCAGGGAATCTCTCAGTGAGGAATGCGCTGAGACGCTTATGCGGCAGAATATCACGAGAAGTGTTCTGCAGGGAAAGAATCATGAGACGGACTCATTGATGTCGCGGAACTCCGCAGCACTGCCTGAGCTGAGCACGAAACAATCAAATATCGGATTATCATGACGCGTACAGATCACTGTTATTAGGTGAAGGGTAAACGGTATTTCGCCAGGAGTGTAGTCGTTCCGTTTATCAAGGCCGTCCGTATTCACAGTTTCACAGTGCACACAAATCCCACGCAATTGACAGCCAAAAAGAAGGCCCCACAGGTAGCGGATGCTTATGGATCCAAGGAAGCCAACAATCAAAAAACAAAAAAGAAAGCCCAACGCGGGGCTCGAACCCGCAGCCTTGAGATTAAGAGTCTCACGCTCTACCGATTGAGCTAGCCGGGCTAGTTCGGTGAAAGAGGCATTTCCTATTTAACTTACAGGCCAGGGATACTGTCACTGCCTTCCACACTCGGGTCCAGCTTTCCATTTCTCGAATCCAGTATGTCCAGCTGATCTAGTTTGGATGTCAGTCGAGCCGGTGTTAACACACCATCATGGCTGCCGGCCCATCTCATCCCTGCCATTGGCCGGCTAGCATTCCACCAAATATTCAAGTCAACCCTAGAGGCGATATTGATCGCGCAAAAATAAATCAGCAGTTCTCCAAGTGGTATACAGCTTTGACCCAAGCACGTGTAAGTCACATGACCCCATCCCAACTATAACCCACCAATAACCCACCATTCCCAATCAGGAAACACCCCCATCACGTGCCCGCATCCCAATCCAATCCTCCAAACTTCTCCGGCGCAACTCCGCAAGTCCCTTGACTCGACGCCCAGGCAATCCCACCCCTCAAGCTCAATCTCTCCCAAAAGCCCTTCAAAATGGCCAAGAAAGGTACGTTAACACATTTCCCATGACTCTACCCCTGCGCCGAATCCCACCAAAGCTCGACTGCTCCGGCAGTAACACTGACGAAATCCACTGGATAATGAATGAATGACTGACAAGATGGCATCATACAGTCAAGTCGCGCACTATCACCGTGCGTCTCATCTCCATGGCCATGACCGGTTTCTATCGCACGATGATCCGTCCCCGTACGCACCGTCCGCTCAGCATGCTCAAGTACGACCCCGTCGTGAAGAAGAAGGTCCTGTTTTTGGAGGCTACAAAGGGTGGACGGAATAAATAAGCCACTTTACGTTCTGGATACCTTTTTCTCTGTTTATTCGGTGGTTCGTTTCGATAATGACGCTCGGCTGGACGGTTCCAATACATATATTTCGTTGGTGGGAAAGCGGTGATGGACAAAGTCAACTTGGGGCTTCCATTCTCAAGGTTCTTACGAGACGGCTACGACTTTGTGGAATACCGATACCGATACCGATACCTCCGGCTGAAATCGGGATGAGCCATCACTGGATCTTTTTATCGATATGAGACGAACATGTATATTAGACGGTGCAGTGGCGAGGATGGTCGTGGAGGCTGTGCCATAACCACAGGCTTCCGTGGACGTTTGAGCTGTGTATCTTTTTCGGTGTTATATTGTGGCGTTTAGAGCAAGACATTCTGGGTTGAATCAATCTTCATTTATCGATTTGATTGCGTTGATGCATATAACATTATTTGGAAAGCTTCAGACATTCTGTGCTGCGGAAATTGAGTTTGGGATATGTTTTTCTCACTTCTCGATATCACGTCGGATCAATTAGAAAGTGCACGAATTGAAGAAAAGTTGGTACATCGAATCATTGTTTCGCCTGTCTGCCGTCTGACGTATTCGTTCATGTGCCCCTCAGGCTCCTCGGCTGAAGCGAGCATTATAATGATCACCTACTGGGGTCAGTATGCTTATTATACATCCTATGCTGCGTCTTACCTCGTGTCTTTCGCCCTGCTCCCCTACCTCTAGCTGCTCGCTTTGGGTTGGTCCCCTGGCTGGCATTCATCGAAGAAGGCCTGCTGCTTCCGGAAGCAAGCTTCTTGGGGCTCGGCTTGCGCTCGAAGTACTCGCTGACGGGCTTTGTTTGTGGCTTCTGATCCACAGAAACCTTTGCCCGTTTGTTTCCAGTGGAGCAAGATGCATTGGCATGCGCAGCTTCATCAGCAATCTCATTTCTAGGTGAACAGGTCGGTTGTTCCTCAAGATTTGCCAGTGTTCGAGGCGCGGGTTGACGAGACCTGGCATATGTGCGGCGATTGAGACGGGCTGGTCTGTCCTCGATGGACTGGCTCCGCCACTGACTGGGGCTGACGTTGCTCGCGGCCGATAATTTGCGTTTCTGCCCTGGTGATAACGTGCTCTGTGCCTCGAAAGTGACACCTTTTGATTTTGTTGCCTTATCTTTACTGCTGCACTTCGTTTCGAGTGCTTTCTCATCCTTCATGGGTTGAGGGCTTAGCTGGGGCGCTGTGTCCTTGGCTGTTTTAGCAGCTCTGTTGGCTGCTCCTGTCGAATGGGCTTCATCAGGCCTGCTAACTGAGTGGACCTCATTCGACACCTTCTGCTCTGAAGTGAGAAGTAGCATAGCTGCAAGATCATCCTGATCATTGCCAAAGACAGAACTATCTATCGGTGACCTTTGGCGAAAGCTTGAGAAAGGTACAATATTGGGGTTCTGCGCGGAACAGATAGGTTGTTTTGCGGCGTCGTTTTGTGTGGGGTTAGGTTTTGCTGGGAAAGGCGAAGATATAATGCTTGCTTGAAAGCTTTCTGCTTTGTAGATCACTTCCGTAGCCTTATATCCTTCCTGCCCTAGGCTTACAAGGCTCTTCCGCGGAGTTGAACTTCGAGCCTGCGAGCCACCAACTTCCGGGTTTCCACCAGGAGATGAGTTCAAGGAATCGCGGGCGGTATCTCTGCTAATAACTGTGCGCAAACTAGTTTCCAGGCTGCTCCATGCTTCCGAGGCTGGCTGGTCAGGCATGGCAAGGCCCGCTTGTCCAAGCGTTGCTTTCAGTTTGTCCATCCACTTCTCGGAATTTTGGACCCTTCTGAGTAGTGATTTTATCTCTTCTCCCGCCTTCCCTTTGCTGCATTCGAGATCCGCCTTTTCTGACATCGTAGCCTTGAGCTGTGACTGGACGAGACAACACTCATCTTCCTTTTTCTGCAACTCCTTGCAGAGCATGTCATGTTTGGAATGAATATCCTCGATGGACTTTGATCCCTCTTTGCTGATTCTGGAGCATTCGTCCTCAAGACTTGAAATCCGGTGAGTAGCTTCTTCAATTCGATGCTGAAGACATGCCTGCTCCGCCGCGCTCGACGACACCACCTCTCCAAGTCTTGCTGCTTCGTGCTTCTTCTCCTCTAGCTTGGATGTTTTCTCAGATATGTCATTCTTGAGACCCTCGTTCTCCCTTTCTTTGGACCCAAGCTATACCAGTCAGCACCTTGACAATAACAGAGTTCCATGCTCGCCTACCAGGAGTTCCAGTTCGTTCACTCGCTGCTTCATCTTGTCTTCGCGCTCTGTCTTTTCTTGCATCAGTATGTTTCTGCCCTCAATCATACTGGAACTTACTAGATCTCGTCGTGTCTCAGCCAACTGCATGGACACCTTGCTCAAATTTCTCTCAAGCTCGGATTTCCCTCGTAAGAGCTCATGGATTTGCTGGTCGTATCTTGCCCGATCCTGTTCTCGGGAGATAACACTAGCTCTACTGAGCTCTTTACGAACTCTTGCCTCCACAGACTTGACCTCATCCTTCAGTGTTGCTACTTCCGCTTCGTACCTCCGGACGCGAGAATCATCATCTTCCACCTTTGCTGATGCAATTTCCAGCGATCTTCTCAATGCCTGAATTTCAAGATCTTTAATTCTCAAGGCTTCCTCGGCCGACTTGGACTGTTCCGACAAAATTTGGATTTTGCTTTCCTGTTCGGCCAGTGTCTGCTCAAACCGGCGAGTCTCGTCTTCCAGAATCTGTCTCTGGTCTGGCAGCTGCATCGCCGATAGACTGGCTTCCAGAGCTTTAAAGTGATTGAGGAGACCGCTTTCCCTCGTCTCTAATCCCTTGATTGAGACATTTATTTCCTCATTGGCGGCCGCCAATTCTCGAAGCGTGTTTCGCAAGCTCTCATTGTTTTCTGAATCTCTTGAAATCTTCGCCGCTAGCTGACTGTCGCTGGCAACATGCTTCCCGATAATCTCAATCTGTGCTTTAAGGCTCTCAGTCAGGCCTTTAGTTGCCTCAGTCCCCTTTCCAATTCCAGCATTCAGCTGGTGCATCGCCGAGTCCATGCTAAAGCGCCTTATTAGCCAACTGAAAGGATTTTGCCTAGACTATGAAGCTTACCGCGCTGCGAAGGCGTGGATAATGTCTGTGCACGCTGCTACATCAGCCTTTCCTGATGAGATACCCTCCCGCAACTCTCCGAGTGAAGCTAGACAACCGCTGAAATCACAGCTCAGACCCTCTTCAAGGGCCTTCATAGATGCAACATGTTGATTGCCCAGGCTTATCAATGCAGCATCGAGACTTTCTCTGACCTCACATTGATGAGACATAATCTTGTCCAATTTGGTGGACTGAGCTCTGGCACAATTTTGAATGTAGACTTCAAGGAGACTTGATCGTTTCTTCTCATCCGACAGCTGCGTCAAAAGGTCTTTTGATCTCCCCTCGGCATCTTTTAGACTTTGTTTGAGCAGGTTGTTCTGGCTTTCCACCTTTGAAAGCTCACCCCGCTTATGTTCTGCGTCGTTTGAGGCCTTAGCTAACTGTGCTCTCGCTTCCTTTATGCTGGTGCTTATCTCATTTCGCTCAATCAGCAATTCTTTCCTTGTTCTTTTGAGCTGAATAGCCTCCCCACGTAAATTTTGAAAATCGCAGCCCAGTTCATTCAAGAAGCTTCTAAACTTCGCGAACTTCGACCTCCATGTTCCCAGGCGGGACTTGTAGGCTTCGAGCTCAGAGGATTGCTTCTGGAACCTCTGGCAGGACTCTTCTAGTTGGCCTTTCAGTATACTGTTTTCCTCTGCCGCCTTGGTCATCTTGGCTTCCATTTGCTGTTTAATCTTAGAAGCGACTATTGCACTTTTCTCGCGATCTCTGATACGGTTGATAAGCAATTGGAAGAGATCTTCCTCTGATAACTTTGGTTCTCCATCTTCAGAGCCATCACTTGATGGAAGCCTAGCACTGAAGGTGCTTTTTTTGCTTGACCGGCGACGCTTTGTGATTCTTGATGTTTGATTTGTAGCAACCAACAAACTTTTCTCGGTCGCTTTGCTTTGATCCGGTCTTCTCAATGGTTCATGAGAGATACTTGTGTTAGGTGCCCTGCTTCCATGCTCTGTCACCTCGTTTCTTTCGGTGTTCTGGATCCTCGTTAGCAGGAAAGGAAGAGACTTGATATGTTTCCTGCCTACCTTTCTGTGTTCCATAGAAGTAGTTCGTCTTTCTTAATTAACAGGTCAGTGACGATCACACATTTTGTTGTGCTGCACATACTGAGCGCTGCATTTTCTGAGGGGATTGCCCCTGAATCAGCGGATGAGCGTTGGCCGACTTGTGGCACAGAACTTGCTGCAGAATGCAAATCGTGCGAGCCTTGCCCTGCATGCACCTTGCTCTGTGTTGTCTTTAGAGAGGCGGCCTCTAGTACTTGTGCTTCGAGAGATCCATTTCGTGGAATTACGTTTATATTACGTGTGCTGATATTCGAGTTCGCTGGATATGAAGAACTGTACATCAGACGAAATTTAGCCTAGCACCAACTGTCAGACACATTACTCACCTTTCTTCTCCCAAATCTTTTCGAGAGACCAAGGACACATCTTTGTCACCATCGAGATGAGCATCAACCCCAGGAGGCATGGTATTCAGTGAGGAGCGTTTTGCTGGCTGCAGGGAGAATGAATTTGGACCCTGAGTAGGCCTCTGGAAGCAAAAAGCTGCCATGTCAATACCAGAACTCTGAGGGCGTTCCATGAGTAGTGGGGAAATCTGTCTGCTGAGCACGTATCTGTCCTCCTCTGAGACCATAGTTGCTTCGAGCTCTGGTGGGAGGGGATCATTATGGTCTGCCAAATGCAAGAGTAGCAGTTCTTCCACCTCGTCATAGGTAGTCCCATCGGCGAGGTTCGCAATATCGGGACATACTATAGAGTCCGCCTCTAATATCGGCTCCTGCTCGTTCTGCATCTTGACATGACTGAGACGTTTGATTATCAGATCCTGGACTCTCAGTGTATAGCAAGGGACGAAGGGGTGGAATCACCCAGTGGAAAAGAAAGTGAACCGACTTGCAAGAATATGAGTTCCTAAAGGGTGACAGTACAGAAGGCCACAGTATGAGTCGCTGCTATCACGCCTGTATTGCTTGTCATACTGCTTTCACAATGTAGGCCCTCTCATGTGGTCTGCAAGTTGTCTGGAGTGAGAAGAACAGGACATAGAGTATCCTGAGTGACCAAGACAGATGACCCCTCGTGACTCAAATAATGAAAATGCACAAACGGAAGTCAGTTGCTGCCGAATCGAGCAAATAATGTCCTTTTGTTATTTCTACCAATGCTAAATTGTGACTGCACAACATAAACACTACTAACACTTGCATTTGTCACTGGCACTATAAACTACTAGTTATGGTGGTTGCAAAATTAGTAGCCATGTAACATCACCTTTTTTGCTACCTTGACCACTATGACATCTAGGATGTCAGTCGTTGACATTTAGATGGGTGTCAGGTCAGAGAAAAGACAGACAAGGCGCCTTACCGGGCCAATTATGGGCTGGAAAAGATGACACTGTCATCTATCCCACACCTCAATTATCACTGCCATATAATGATACCCAATCTATAGCTCTACCATTCCTTAAGAGATTACGATCGCAGGTTTTACGACCAGAGATATGACATTCCGCAGAGCTGAATATACTGATGTTGCATTTGCTTTTCCTTGTAGCGCAGGTGTTAAATAGTGATCATTCGTCCAAATGGTCCGACGCAGCCTCACTTGCGCCCGAGCAGATGCAGAACATCTGAAGACTTATGGAGTCCTCTTGCATCGGCGGCCAAACCACCTTTACAATTGGACACTTTCCAAAGTCTATGCAGAGTTGGTGGTTGCAGTTGGCGCCGATATGCCACTAAGTCGAGTTCCGTGTCTCCGATTTGACGTTTGCGTTTCACCCTCAAACCAGTGAAACTGCATGATCCCGGGCCTTCCCACCCGGTCAAACACTCCAGCCCATCTTCAGGATTTAGCCTGTCACAGTTAGGCCTATCACGGAACAAGATGTCGTAGTGCTGCGTACACCAGCAGATTCTTCACAAATCTCGCACCCCTGGTGACCCCATCGACTCCCATATATGATATGCTGAGCGCTCTCGCCATGCCTGATTAAACTCTCAGCTAATCTTTGATTCCCAAGTGTCAGTTATCGATACAAAAACTTCTCGGCGCATCTCATGTTTAGTCTCAAGAAAATGATCGGCGTCTCTATGTACTCAATACAGCCTTTGTGGGTGGTGTTAAGTGTGCTATCATCACCAGCAGTCGCACAAGGTGTACTTAATAGTGTCGACAGCCAGGATGGAGATGGCAAAACAGAGTCATCTTCGACGACGCCGAGTGTTTCCTCTAAAGGAATGATTATTTTGTGCACCATCGTGGCATTGGTGTTGGTTATTGGTGGTATGTCTCCTAAGAATTTGGTACAGGATCAAGAGTCGGTTCAGTGGTCGAACAGGTACTAACAATTCCGCTGTCATAGTTTTATTCACCGCTGTGTTCATTACTGTAAAGAAGAGGAGCTTGAAGACACCAAAGACAGCCTCCTTACCAGGTGAAGCAGTCACAGAGGCCACGGAAAGATCGTTGAGCGGCAATACACCGACCGAAAGGGACGGAGCTAGATCCAAAACTTTGAAACACGAAGAGATTCAACCAGATATAGAGAAGAATGCTGGCGTTGAGCAAAGCCGACCGCACAAAAATGCTTGGACGAAGCAAAGAGGATGGGGATCCTACTTTTCTTTCGGACGCGCATAAAATCATCTCACAGCCACAGCACCTCGTCCAACTCCAATATTTCGAGCGATCCAGTCAAGAAACATTCAAATGAGAGCAGCTCAGCGTGATGGCATATTTTCCAGTTATTGTATTTCTCATATTCTTTCTTGTCGTGCCACCATTTCCCCCGCGCTGTCCCTTGATGTACATTTGGAGAGTACCCCGCACTCGGTAAATGTGAAAGTGGCTCCTATATCGAGTCGAAGCATCAGGATCGAGGAATGACAAGAATGATCACACCGATAGTCACCCAGTCTGTCTGTAGGGGAGCGTCGATGCCATGGAAAGCCTTGCCCAAACAATGTTGAGTGGGGACGCCCCGCGGTGTGCTGCAGAGGATCATCCAATCAGTCGCGCCAATTCCATGCTCCATGGATGATGGCAAGTCTTTCCGTCTGGAGCGAGCAACTCCACCCGTCTTGGTTCTACACACTGTCTATCGGAGCATGAATCTCTCTCCGCTCCATTGCATAAACAACGCAGAATCTCAATTTCTGCCCATTCACAGAGGGGAAATATGGGCTTGATTTTGAGGAAGGCAATTTTCCCCATCAACATGGCTGGACCCAGGACAATGTACTCCGAAGCCTCCAGAACATATAAGGCCTCTGGATCTCGCCCAGTAGGTTTCATTTCATTCCATTCAACGAAATATCTTATAAACATCTTGTCTTAAAACTCTCGAAGCCAATCTCACTCTTCTTCTTTATTTACGCACAGACTGTCATCTCACAATGCCTATTCAAAAGCTAAAAGTTGGCATGGCTGGTCTGGGCCGGATAGGCAAGGTCCATGTCCATAACTTCCTTCACCAAACCCCACGGGCCGAAGTTGTCGCAGCCTTCTCCCCCGACCCAGCTGAGATTACATGGGGCAGACAACACCTGGAGCCGTATGGAGTTACATTATATGACAACTACGACAAGATGCTGGAGCACCCCGGCTTGCAAGCAGTCGTCATCGGGACGGCAACCTCGGTGCATGCCGAGGAGACCATGAAAGCTATTGATCGGGACCTGCATGTCCTTTGTGAGAAGCCATTGTCAATTGATGTGGAAGTGGTATGTTCCAATTAATTTAACTGAACTGAATTTCGCTGTTGGTCCTGCTCCCACACTTGCATATGGCTAACTCCTTGATAGTGCAGAGCAGTTGCACAAAAGGCCAAGACTAAGCCACACTTGAAGGTCATGTGTGGCTTTTCTCGGAGATTTGATGACTCCTATCGCGAGGTCTACGATAAGATCAGCCAGGGCATGATCGGACGTCCCTCCATCGTAAGAAGCCAGACTTGTGACAAGTACGACCCCTCGGGCTTCTACGTTGCTTACGCAGCGTGGTCGGGAGGTGTGTTTGTTGACATGTCTGTGCATGACATTGACTTGACTTTGTGGTTCATGGGGGAGGACTCGGTTCCCAAGAGCATCTCCGCCCATGGCATCACGGCTGTCCAGCCTGAGTTGAAGAAGTACAAGGACTACGACAACGCCGTCGGAATTGTTGAGTTTCACAATGGCAAGATCGCCTACTACTACTGCTCTCGGATGATGCCCCACGGACAAGAAGATACAACCGAGGTTATTGGCACCGAGGGGAAGCTGTCTGTCAACATCAACCCACAACGCAACTTCGTCAACTACTACCACAGTGGAGGCATCACTCGCGAGGTCCCTGCGAATTTCCACGGGCGCTTCGGAGGAGCCTTTGTGAACGAGGCGAATGAATTCACTGCCTCTTGCTTGGATAACAAGCCTCTGCCCCTCAAGTTGTCCAACGCAGTCAAAGCTGTTGAGATTGGCGCATACCTTCAGGAGGCGTTGGTGACAGGGAAGCAGATCCACTTCGATGAGATCGGTAGAAGGATTGAGAAGTCTCAGTTGTAGGATGGATGAACTGTGTAGTCGGTCTGCTGCAAGCCTTGACTTTTACTTGTATTGTTCCAATCTATAAAAAATATCTAAGATGTTAGGAATACCTCATACTGCTTCCTCACTCTGTATTGTACGTAGTAGATTAGTTCAATTAAGCCGGGGAAAATGGCACTATTCCAAAAACGGCATCCCCGCATTCCCGGGCCTTTTAACCAGGGAGATCATCGAATCATCGACTCATGACACCCAGTCCGTCCCAGCACTTCCATGGTAATTAGTCTGCAACGCGACCAACATGGTGTTTATCACCGATGGTGTGACTGGCTCCACTGCGTCGTCAAAGGTCCCAGGGGCCGGGCGGGTTCCTGAGCGTGTCTGGCCAGGCTGCCACGCCAGCGCCAGCTCCAATGACGAAATGCACGGCTGACGACGCCCACGATCGACGAGAGAGCTCCATCCAGCCAGCCAGGGGTGCCTTTCCTCCCCATTGAACTTCAGCACTGAACTCGGCTCCCACCCCACTCTCCGTTTCACTTCACCATCTTCAACATCATCATCCCACTGCTGTCTTCCATGCTGGCGGACAGTAAACTCCCCTTTATATTTGACTACCTCCACGGCTGGATCTCCGGGACGTAGTTACTTCAACATGTATTTAGACTTCTCTAAGAGCCTCGGTATTGGCTCGCTCACTACCATGCTTCTCTCCGCATTCTCCCCACGAGAGCGTGCTCTCGTTGATCATCAGCCAGCGCTACCTCCATCTTATCCGCTGGCCGTCCGAAGTCCCTATCTCTCGGCATGGATGCCCAGCGACCAGGTTCAGACGTTGCCGTATGCGGAGCCTCAGTTTTGGGCGGGACAGAGTCTCACCTGGTCGGTCATGGCTCGCGTCGATGGCCAGGCGTACAGTTTGATGAGCGTTAAAAATCCCGGCGAGAACATCCGTCCAGCTATCGTTCGAAGCGCCGAGTATACCGCGACACATTCGGTCTTCAATCTTTCCGCTGGTTCGGTGGTTTTCACTCTGGACTTTTTCTCGCCCATATCGCCCTCAAACTATCTGCGACAGTCCCTCCCTTTCAGTAAGATATCGTGACTTCAGCAAAGCTTATCGTATTTCAGTAACTGACCATTTGGTGGGAAAGGCTACTTGACTGTTTCTGTATCGGAGGGTTCTTCCAAGAGCATCCAGATCTACTCTAGTATTGACGGAAGATGGACGGGCAAGCCACAACACACTACACGTGGTTTCCGCGAAACCGGCTCCACGGCCGTCTTCTCCTTGGGGCTGAAGAACGGTGTCCCTTACTCTGAAGTAGATGACATGGCCACTTGGGGCGAGGCGATATTCGCCTCTCGCCCGACTTCCAAGTCCAAGCTCTCCTTCTCATCCGGTAAACGTGGCGACGTGCGTTCTCAGTTTGTCAGTACCGGGAGCCTGGTCGACAACCGCCAGTCATGGGCTCCAGGAGGGATTGTAGCCCTTTCGCACGACTTAGGAAGGGTTGACAGTGGAGATTCAGTGACATTTGCCGTTGGACATGTGCGCGAAGAGTCCATTAATTACCTGGGAAAGCCATACACCGGATACTACCGATCGCAGTACCCGGATAGCCACGAAGCAGTCTCTTATTTCCTTGACGACTATCCCGCCGCTCTGCAGGAGTCTCGGGTGCTCGATACGGAGATGGCCAAGCAAGCCAAAGCAGCGGCTGGCCAAAAGTACGCCGATATAGTCACACTGTCGGCTCGTCAGGCGTACGGAGGAATAGAGGTGACCATTCCTAATGACACTCTGGACACCACCGATGTTCTGGCATTCATCAAGGAGCTTTCCAGCAATGGTAACCTCAACACAGTGGATGTTATCATGCCCGCCTTCCCGATCTACTACGTTCTGGACCCGGACTACATCCGCCTTCTATTGGAACCGATGATGAGATACCTGGCTGCTGGCCGCTGGCAGAAGCCGTATGTAATCCACGACATGGGCAAGCATTACCCCAATGCTATCGGGCATGACAATCAGAAGGCCGAGCCAATGCCGATCGAGGAATGTGGAAATCTAATGGTACTGGTCCTGGCCTACGTGCGAGCAACGGGTGACACCGAATGGGTCGCCCAGTACACCGACCTTCTTAGGGGCTATGCGGACTATTTGGTCGACAATGGTGTTGATATCACCAAGCAGCTGTCTTCCAATGACGCGGCTGGTGCACTTGCCAATGAGACGAACCTTGCCATCAAGGCGGCCGTCGGTATCAAGGCATTCGGCGAACTGACGGGACTTTCCGAATACTCTGACATCGGGGAAGCGCGAGCGGATCTATTCTTCACCCAGGGCCGTGGAACAGACGAGAATAAGACACACTTCGTGCTGCAATATCCCGAAAAGCCAGCTTCGTGGAAAATTCCATACAACCTCTACCCAGATGTATTACTTGATCTGCAGACCTTCCCTAAAGCGGCATACGAAATGGGAAATACCTTCTTCAAGTCTGTTCGAGCGGAATATGGAGTTCCGTTGGATAACCGGCAAGACTGGGCCAAGTCGGACTGGAACATGTGGCTGGCAGGCACGTTTGATGCCGACACTCGGTCCGAGTTTGTGGATGATCTCTGGAGTTTCATGACCAATGGAAAACACAACTGGCCGTTCTCCGATCGGTACGTTGCCACATCCGCCAAGGGACGGAGCCCTGGGGTGCCTGTGTTGTGCCGAGCTCGCCCAACAGTGGGTGGTCATTTTGCCCTGATGGCACTACAAGGGCCCAAGTCTCTTCAAGCTGCTGTGTCGAGGCAGGTGTTTGGTGAAGGAGGCAACAAAGGAGGCAGTGACAGCCAGGAGATTCTTTTGAACCAGGGAGATAATCTGTAGATTAGGCAGAGACTCTTTGTGTGTATCGCAAGGTCAATTGTGAATATAGTATATATGATGAGGTGGTAATGTTCGTCATCTCATGAATAACCTGCTGTGCCAGTGCCAGCTGTCAGGTACTTTCCTGTTTGGGCCCGACTTGAAGTGTCACTTGGGCATTGTGTAGATTTGGGCGAGATCTAGATAGATCGTCCCTGTGGTGAATGAAGCCTAAGGAAACACCCGGTGCAGAGATTTTTCGAGTTACTCTGTAGATGTCAACTCATTCACCTATCGGTGTTACTCCTGCTCCTATTTAGTTATTGGCTGCTTTTTCCTAGTGGTAGTGGTTGTTGTTGTTGTTGTCCCTTGCGCCCGTTTGCTGGAAAGCTGCCCCTGGGGCTTACATAAGCGGGGAGGCATCACTTCGGCTGGCAGCGACTCTGAGTCTCTCTTTCGCCGTGTTCCAAACCGCCTCGTCGTGCTTGCTTCCTCCTCTTTCCCCCCCAGTCGTCTTTCTTCGTCTTCTTCCTCTTCTCTCGCCCCGTCTCTTTTCCTTCTCCTTCTGCCTCATCATCAACTACCCTTGGCCTTTTCTTTCTCGCTTTTCCGACCTCACTTCCAGTCCCTACTCATGGCTTCTGTAAGTGCTCCCTCTCTGTCCCCGTATAGCTAAGCTGTGATGTGATGGCTGTCCAACGTCATGGCCCCCTCTGAAATCGCGCGTTGGCGATCCTCCAACGCGCTCAGATAAGATCTTGTTTTCCCTCGTGCTGACCTCATGCTCTCTTTTCCTTGTCTAGCCCCGTCCTCCACACAACTTCGGTCCTCAAGGCTATCCCCTCCCCAACGGTGCTGTTCCTTCTGGTCCCGTCCCCGGCGCCGCCCCTCTCCTTCCCAACAATGGTCGAATCATTCAGAATGGTCCCGTCAGAGTGCTGTGCATTGCGGACGTGCGAGGTATGTGCTCCGGATCTAGCTCCGGTAACGATCCCGGATTGGTAGACCCGATTGAGCTGATTTGGGAAATCTGTTTTGCTTTTTCCACGGCGCAGGTAATCTGAAGTCCTTGAATGAGTTGGCCAGGCAGGCCCGTGCAGACCATATCATCCACACTGGTGACTTCGGTTTCTACGATGACACTTCGCTCGAGCGCATTGCAGACAAGTCAGTGACTTTCCCCGTCCCCCGATTCGTGAAGCTGCGTTCAGCCGCTAGAGAGCTTTCATGCATGATAAACATGTGACCCGATCGACTAACACCAATCTGCAACTCGACTATTAGGACTCTTAAGCACGTGGCTCAATACTCACCCCTGCTCCCCGAGAATGTCAAGCGCACGATCGCCCAGACTCCTCCCCAGCAGTCGATCAAGCAACGATTCACCCCCGATCAGCTACCCCTCTCAGAGCTTCCCATGCTGCTCGACAAGCGTCTCACCCTCGATGTTCCTGTCTACACTGTCTGGGGTGCTTGCGAGGATGTTCGCGTGTTGGAGAAGTTCCGTTCGGGAGAGTACAAGGTTGACAAGCTGCACATCATCGATGAAGCCAACTCGCGGCTGCTCGACATTGGCGGTGTGAAGCTCCGTCTTCTGGGTCTGGGTGGAGCCGTTGTTATGCACAAGTTGTTTGACAATGGCGAGGGCAAGACTACTATTGCTGGTGGTCAAGGCACCATGTGGACAACCCTGCTGCAAATGGGAGAGCTGATTGACACAGCAAACCGTGTATACGACCCCTCAGAGACCCGGATTTTCGTCACGCACGCGTCGCCGGCTCGTGAGGGCATGCTGAACCAGCTGTCGGTCACGCTCAAGGCCGATTTCTCCATCTCCGCTGGCTTGCACTTCCGTTACGGCTCGTCCTACAACGAATTCTCCGTCAACCCCTCCCTCGACCACTACCGGGGCAAGCTCGCCGCTTCCAAGGCTTCCTTCAATGATGTGTGGGAGACCGTCCGCGGCGAGGTCGAGGCCGCCATCTCGCAGAACGAAGCTCAGAAGACTTTGCTCGACAATGCCCTGGAGGTGGTCACCAAGATGCCTACCGTTGCCAACGGTGGCAACCCGTTCGGTGGACCTGCTGCTCCCGGCAACGCAGCTGGCCAGGTCGACGAAAGCGCCTTCAAGAACATGTGGAACTTCAACTTGGCGGACGCAGCATTCGGCTTCTTGGTGCTTGAGATCGAGTCGGGCCGCATCGCTACCGAAATGCGCGCTCAAGGATTCAACTTTGCCCACCGTACTGGCAAGCCCCAGCCCGCTGGCCCAGCCCAGCCCGCTCCCGTCCCCGCTGGCGCCCCCGCTGGCATTGCCTCGCCTCGCGTTCCCGGAGCTGCTCCCCAATTCGGTCAGGCCCAACCTGTTCCCGCCCGCACGGGTCCCCTGCCCCAACAGCAGGCCCCAGCTCAGGCCAAGGCTCCTGCCGCCGCTCCCGCTCGTACATCCCCCGTTCCCGTGATCCCTAAGCCTGCTACGCCGCAGCCTGCCACCGCCCCTGCTGCGCAGCCCGCCGTGACGTCCCCGGAGAGAACCACGACCACCGAGGCCAATGGTACCGCTCAGCCTGAGAAGCCCTCTGAATCTCCGCTGCCCAAGATTGAGAAGAAGCAGAGCAACGGCCTCTTCGTCTCGAACGTTGAGAATGAACAAGCTGTGCGTGATCTCTTCCCTGAGGAAGACAAGGCCAAGATCACAAAGGTTGAGAAATGGGGCAAATACAACAACCATGTCGTCCACTTCGCGACTGTCGAGGAGGCCAAGGCTGCTCTCGATCGCCAGCCTGCCGAGCACAAGAAGCCTACCCCTGCCGGTCAGCCCCGTAAGCCCAACATCAAGTTTTTCGAAGACCGGGGCAGCCACCGCGGCAATGCCGGTACATGGCAGAGCAGTAACCGTGGTGCCAACGCCCCCCAGCGCGGGTACCAGAGCGGAGGTGCCAGTGACAGCGAGACTAACCGCGGACGTGGATTCCGTGGCCGAGGTGGTGCTGGCCGCGGCGACCGGGGCGGACGTGGCGGCCGTGGTGGTCGCGGTGGGTTCAACAAGGGAGGTGCTCCGACTTCAGACTCGGGACCAGGCGACAAGCCCGCTGCAACTGGAGGCGACGCTTGATATGTGTGATTGTGCCTGATTCCCCTCTCTGATTTCATGTCCACCTTTGTTTTCTCCAATTCCCCCATTCTATCTTTCTTTCCGAAAGTGTTTTTTTCTACCCTCAGCCATCTCTTCTTCCTGTCCAATGTTTTCATTAATCTCACGCTTTTCGATCGGTATTTTAATTTTCTATTGTTGTGATACTTGCTAAATGACGTCTTTTTCCTCTTTTCACCTTGTTCTTGTCCTTTTTCAGCGAGATGTGCGTCAAACTTCTTTTCCCATTCATCTTCCTCTTTCCTAGTAGACACTTCGCGCTGGCGACGGGATTGATCGGTTACTTCAATTGGTCAGTCCCATTTCCCACTCGGATCTTTAGGACCCCAAGGAGTCGTTGGTGCGGATCCGAAGGCAGAAGCAGAGGCGGAGACAGAGAGACACAAGCGGGGTTGCAAGCAGAAGCAAGCGGAGGAGGAGCGGTGGGTGTGTATGTGTGCTATCGAACTTGGTATGATATTATGGTCTTTGATTTTGTTGGGTGGCCGCGGGAAACGGGAATACAAAAAGCGAAGGGATATTTTATCTGAGGTTACTTTGCGAAAAACGAAAAAAAGAAGAAACAAAACCACAAAACGGCCAACGGCGAGGATTCTTTTGTATTCTATATTCTCCTGGAACGGACCAATATCGATACCCTTGTAACTTCATGCGGTTTGTCTACTACATACTTCAGTAGCGTTCTATCATCTGGTAATATCCTACTATTAATTTTAGCGATAGTAGACTCAGGCTGAGTTGGTACTAGGTGGTAAATACTACAGCTATCGCCAAGGATAGTATTTTGGACAACATTGACTGAACAACGCTTTTTTAAATTAGTCTACTAAGTATCTGTTTAGTAGTACCACAATACAGTAACTTTACCGCGACGGGTGGTGTTTATTGACTATCTCAGGCTGCGCTGCCAGGATATATATTCCGGGCGGGTGTGGCGGTCAGGCACTACATCAACTGAGAAGTTACAACGGACATTATTAGTAGTACTAAACTAGCAATAATAGTAGTAAATACCGCGACTAATAGTATGACTGCAATGCAATGGATAGATGAATGAAGAATCAATGAGGGTATCAATTACTAGTATGTAGGTGTAGTATCGGAGAAGAGAGAATTGGCGTTTTATTACCTCATGGCTATACAAAGATACAACCTCACCCAGAGACATACGCCGGTTACACCCGAATAGACAAGAACGACCCTTTCGCATATTTCCAAGGGTAGATAGGTAGGTAGACAGATAGATTGACAAAGCAATATATCACTCGACATGCCCGAACCACCCAGCGTTTTTGAGTACATGTGGTGTGGTGGGCTGAAAGATCAAGAACCAGCGGTGCATATACATAGGAACAAGCACGCAACCCAAGTGGTAAAATTGAATGAACGAAAGAATACTCCAACGGTGATGGTGTACAGTCTGCCAAACCGAAGCTTCCTATATTGCATTAAAATTTTCCTGTGCAAACCACGCCTCCTGTTCGCCTGCAGTGGTCTTTGTGAAGAAAAGAAGATAGTAGAGAAAGTACAGTCATAAAAGTAGATGGAGAAATGTAATATGTGTTGGGGAGATTATTGCCTTGCTCCAAGCTCCAAAAGTCTTTCCATGAGAATTTGTCCAATCGAAGATTGCGGTAAATAACCTGGAGTACTCCAAGATTTTTCACTTCGGGTTCGTGTGAAAAACCTCCCATATCCAATATTTCCTTTTGTCGTAACGGCGTCAACAACAGCTTTGCATTACATGTATGGGTATCTGAAACGCAGAATGATGGCAACGAGGGCAGTATGCGGCGGGCAGCGCAGGTGCGAACTAACTTATTGTTTCCCCTCGCTTGACTATTTCGCCCGGCCCATGATGTCGTCAACGTCTTGCTGGTTGACGACCACACCGCCCTCCGAACACCGCGCCTTCATGCGTAGTTCGGAGCAAAGATGATCGACATCGAGCTCTCCGTTGCGGAATCTCTCCATGGATTGCAGACGATCCCTTAGAAAGAAAATGTTAGTATAAATGTAGTTATTGGAGAGTCCAACAGGATAGTCATACCATATCTTCGTGCAACTCAGCATCTGGGACTTGTCTTCTCCAGGCACAACCTCTTCATCCAACTTGCTGTCAATCTCTGCGATCAAGTCTTTCTTCGGCGGTTGTTGGGTGGCCGCTTCCGTGAGGTTGTGTGAAGGGCTTCCCAGATCGGGCAGGGGGAAGGCATCGTCAAAGAATGTTCCAAAGTCCTGAGACAGGATTGCATCCTGAGGCTCACGCCAGTCTCCGAAGAGAACGGGATCGAACTGGCCGCCGTTCTGCTGAGCGAGCGTATCCAGACCCGCAACATCCTCATGGGGAGCCTCCTGATTAGGGGTATTTGACGCGCTTTGGCTGTTATGCCTGACGGCTGGAATGGGGTTATTGATATTGCCACATGCCATGCCAAGTTGCGCGCAGAAGGATTCCTCACCATCGATGGTGGTATAAGTGCAGCCATCATGAGCACCGTGGTGGTGATGAGCCTTAGTAGCAGGAGAATTAATAGTGGGTTCCGGGGATGTGCCGTTGGACGAAAGACTCTGGCTCTGGTGGGAATCGGACGAGGAGGATGGCGAGTCAGTTGTAGAGGAATCATGCGTAGAGGTGGATTGAGCCGTGCCGTTATATAAGGACACCTTCGGAGTGGACTTCCTCGTGGACGCAGGAGTGGAACCCTGGTGGGACACGGAGCTGGGAGTCCTGCCCGCGGGCACACCGTTGGACTGAGCGCTGCTCAGAGAGTTACGGCTCACAACACCTGGCACACGGGAGTCATTACGCGACGTTGCTGTTGATGGCTCTCCTTTAGCACTCTGCTGGGCCTTGGACAATTGGCCGTTATTGAAAATGTGGGAGCCCGGAAGATCCCCGAATTTGGGGAAGTCAAACATGAAATCATTGTTCTGAAGGCCATACGATCCCTTGTTGGGATAGGCTCCTGGGATGGCATTCATTGCAGAGACACCAGTTCCCGTGGTCAGCCAGGAGAGACGCTTGCGATACTCTCTCAATTCGACTTGCAGGCGGTCGATTTGAGCACGGAGCAACCCATTCTCCTGGTTCGCGTTGTCAGAAGCCTTCTGCAGCTCATCTACCTTCGTTTCCAGATCCTTCAAGTGTTTCTCCTTGCGTTCACGGAACGCTCGCTGCGCAGCCCGGTTCTGTGCCTTCCGCTTCTGCGAGGTTGTTAGTGTCACGGGACTCTCGGCGCCCACATCGCGATAACCGAGCATACGTACCGAGGTTGGCTCGGAAGTCAAGGGCTTCCTTCCAGGCTTCTTTGCCGCCTTCTCATCGCTTTCTCTTCGCTTCTTGCCGGAAGCTTCATTCTCATCCGCATCGCCATCGATGTCCTTCCTCTTCTCTCCCGGCTCGGGTTCCTCCGATTGCGGCAGGCTCTCGGGAAGATCTCCAATCAAATTCTCGGAGCCTTGGAAGTCAAAATCCAGCTCGGGGTTGAAGTCCAGGAAGGGACTTTCATCATCACCATAACCCAGGCCACCCGAATGAGGGTTAGAGGGGTCGAACGCAGGACTCATATTGTAACTACCCGTGGTTGCCGGGGTAGACTCGGGGTCTGACTTGGAAGCCGGGGGGTTGGAATTATTTTGCTGTTTTGCGGGCGGATTGTTGGAGGAGAGAGCAGCCAGGAGGAGATCCTGCTGATCTGGCGACAGGTAAAGACCGTGCTGATAGAGGGAATTGTAGTCGGCCATTGTGTTCAGAATATCGCAGTCGACAGTGATGATCAGAGCAGGAAGGTGTTGAAGCTGTGGGAGTTGAGGTTGTGGGGAAGTGTCAAGTATTGCTCAACGGAAGTAATCTCCAAGTAATAGTAGATTCGATGAGAAGCAGGCCGGGCTTCCCGCCCGTTCGTTGTATCGATAGGTGGCCCCCAGAAACGGGTTGAGGAGGAGGGGTTCCGGTACGATGACACCGGCAGAGACCAGGGGAGGGGCACAATATAATTATTATTTTTTTTTTTTTCGAAGATTGAGACAGACCACCGACAACCGTCACGTCACAGTGAACTGAAAGTATAGTTGTTGGGGGGGGGGGGGGGGGGGAGCAATCTGAGGCTGGAAGTCTCTAGAAGGTGTTGGGGAGACGGGGTGTTGCGGGAGAAGTGAGATTCGGAAGACAGATGAAGTTGAGGATGACAATGCGTGAAGGAGAGGCGCAAGGCAGGCGAGACGCACAAGCCGCAAAGAGGTCTGTCTGACGAGCCAAAACGGGGCTAAGGAGAGGCAGACTAAAGACGAATCACAGGTCGTGAAAGAGGGCGAGAGGGAGGGGAGAGGGGCTGGTGAGTGAAAGGGAAGATAGGAAGAGGAGGATGATGCAAGATGGATGAGAGGTAGGGGGATGCAGTAGGGCGAAAGAATGCGAGACCCGTCGTTAAGGGTCTAGCCGAATGGAACGAAATTGTGGCACCGGGTAGGGGGGGAAGATTGGTTCTTGATGCGGGTTGGAAGAAAGGAAGAGGGGGGAAGAGAGAGCGTGAGAAGAGGAGAAGGAAGAGGAGGCCGTGGATGGAACAAGACAAGCCTAGTAGTGAGTAGTACTAAGAGAGAGGCAGATGGAATGGAATCTTCGACTGAACTAAGAGGGGGGCGATGGCCTCGAGGGGCGGTGGGTAGAATGAAAGATGGTGATTGGCTACGAAACCATGCAGAAGGCAAAAAGTGTAGCCTGAGGTGTTCTGCCGGTGCAAACCTCAGGCTGCAAGTGGGGAAGCCAGTGACTCCTGCTTAGAAATCCAACTCGAAAAGCCTCTGCGGGTTTTCTCTCTTCGCCCATTTGCTTCTTTACCACTTCGGCATTGCTTGGTTCCTTGGTTGGTCACCTCTTTACAATCATCAACCTGACGATGGATTTGACTCTCGCAACACTCTTCAGCCTGAAACTGGTACGAGGCACTAGTATTTAGTCTCTGCCTCCTATCTAGCTAGTCTATCTACGCCATCGCTAGATAGGTAGATGTCTGCCCCCCTCCCTGGCAAAACTGGGACCATCCTTTGTCTGGACGATGCTACTCCGTACTAAACGAACCGATCGACTGTCTCACCCAAGAAAAGTGACTCATGAGGCGCCACTTTTCTCGGACGCGGACACGGGTTCTTTCGTTCGCCGTCACCTCACCGCCCCCCAGCTTCAGTGTTAAGACCAGAAAGACCCTCCGACTTTCGGTGCTCATGCTGATGCCTATCACTCTGCGATCTCGGATGCCCCGGAAGGAATACTGTATTCCAAATTGTTGTCCGTCAACCGCATGGTTTCTCCCTGAGAGCACTGTAGGCACTGTAGCAGCTAAGAATTATTCGAGTGCACCTCGTAAGCCGGGGATAACCTAGTTTATTTGGCCAGAGCTCCCCTACTCTCGGTCGAATGCATGGCCACCCCGACCGATCACAACCGGGGCAAGCGGTGTGAAACCCACTAGGGATCTGGATCTCCGATGCTTAAGGTTTAGCCTATGGCGACGAGTAGTCTGCCACGGCTGACGAGTTCTAAGATTGGATGGCCATTGATCTCCCCGCCCTGTTTTGACTGCTGGACTGCCGCTGCCGCTGCCCCATCAGTATCAACTGTTGCTGTAGCCTGTAGCCTGTGGCATGTGGCATGTAGCCTGATAACGCGGTTGGACGGACACCTGGCAGATCTCGGGCCAATTATCACCCCCATCGGTTGGCCTTTGTTCCGCAGCCGAATGACGTGAGGATCGACTGTGGAAGCGGACACCAACCAGGTGTTGACCCGTTGACCCGTAGCTTAGATAGTGGATGCGGGCGTGGCCTGAGATCGGAGCTTTTTTGGACTTCGGCGGCCTGTCTTTAATGTAACCGTGGGGAAGTCGAACCGGGACTAGATAGTGACCGGCCCAAGCCTGAAGTTGCAGGAATTATTGCTGCTTTGCCATAAGCATCAGCGACCCAGAACGTCCACTAGTGAGTTAGTGATGAATGGTACTTTGTAGCAGCAGGAGCGAGCGAACGCAGATAACGGATAAGTTAAACATGTGACTTGCGCCCAATGCATCTGTGGCGGTGCGAATACACGTGATTGTCACGAGCCGCAACGGGGCCCCCGCCACAGCCCAGTCTTATCCCCAAAGGCGACTTCTCTTATCTGCAAAACCTCAGATTTGCTCCAGCCCGACCGCCACTCCACCACAACCACTGCCATCATCCTGCCCACTCGCCATTCTTTCATCCTTTGGTTTCCCGCAGGAGTTAACCATCTTCTTTCTTTACTGCTTCTAATAACACAACAATGTCGGACGTCGCTGCCCTGGAGGCAGAGGTCAAGGAGTTTAAGCTCCAGGTACGCGCCTACATAGCCATCACCGTCCGTCCGTGACTAACCGTCGCTCTCCCAGCTTGAAACCGTCCAATCGAGTTTGCAGGTAGACCCAGACAACACGGAATTGCAGAGTCTCAAAACTGAGCTGGAAGAACTTATAAACCTCACCGAAACATCCATTGCCGAACTCAAACCTCCCGCGCCTCCCGTGTCCCAGCCGCCGGCGTCCGCGGCCAAGGACAACAGGGCCAAGGATTCTTACGCTTCTCAACCAACATACCGCAAACCGACGGTCGAACAAACGGACGAACCGTCAACTCAGACCTCCTTTTCCGTCAACGAGCACGTTCTCGCCCGGTGGGTGTCGGGCGACAACTCGTTCTACCCAGCGCGTATCACCTCCATCACCGGCTCTGCGAGCAACCCCGTGTATCTTGTCTCGTTCAAGTCCTATGGGACGGTGGAAAATCTAACCTCCAAAAACATCAGGCCCATCTCCGGCAATGACTCGCGAAAGCGCAAGGCTGATGCAAGCTCAGGCAATTCCTCATCACAATCTCCGGCGCCGCCGCCACCCCACTCGAGCGTGATCTCCGCCGCCGCGGACATTAATCCCGCGTTGGCCAACCAGGCGCGTAAGGAGCCGAGCAAGGTGAGCGATGGGCCGGCGCGCCCGGCCAAGGTGCCCCGGAAGGTGAAGGCTACGCGGGAGCTCGAGGCGGGCAAGATGAAGTGGAAGGATTTTGCCAGCAAGGGTAAATTGGGTCGCAAGGAGAGCATGTTCCGCACGGGCGATGGAGTAAATGCCCGAGGTGAGTGGGCTCTTCCGCTAGACTACGCGTGATAGGAGACTGACTGTAGTAGTGGGCTTTACTGGCTCTGGCCAGCAGATGCGCAAAGACCCTGGACGTTCACGACACGTCTACCAGCAGGGCGAAGAGGAAGGCTACTAGCAGGACTAATGATGGATGGGCTTCACTCTGTTATTTTTCTGTCCCTACCGTGTGTCACATCGCTAACGGGCTATGGTGTCAGATCTAGTGAAGCGAGCCAGTCGTACATACTATAAAATTTTGATATCCAGACGCATCATCGTTAATGATGTGATGCGACATTGTAGTAACTTATGTTCATGTCTACTTTTGGATCACTGTTCTATTTGTAGCGTGCCATCTAGCTGGAAATCCTGACGATGATCAACTGCCACTCGCCCAGCTACATTTAGAGTGACACAACGGAATCGTCATCCGTTTACGCCAGTGGTATTATAACGCCCTTTTGCTCTCCTCGATTACTTGGAAGTCGGTCTCAACCATGATTCTGCCTTCTTCACTCTCGTCGTCCCTGCGCATAGAGTCCATCTCAACCCGAACAGTCTGTATTGCAAGCAGACTTTCGTCCCAATCCCTGGGCCTCCTCACGGGGGCATTCTTATTTTGACTGGATAGTTCATTCTCCGAGCTACCTAGATATCTCCCCACACGCGAGCCGAATATCCGCTGATTGGCGTAGCGCAGCAGGGGTTGCAAGGTAGGCAGACAGGCACAGACAATCCCGATGCACGGCTCCACACTGGACCAGATGAAGACATTACCCATGATCCAGGTGATATCCACGGATCTGCTTAGAAATGTCATGTAATAGATTCGAATGAGACTCGCCACGCAGACACTGCAAACAGCGTTTTTGTATCAGTTTCCAGACAGGATGAGCCATGGGAATGGAAAGGCGGGGTTTAGCACGACATACAAGCTGCCAAGTAGGAAAATGCTGCAGACCAAAACCTTCTGGGTGGTTCGCATTTGAAGCCTTCAGATAAGAGGCATGGGCACCAGCAGAATGATCACGTCCGTCGTCACGTTCACAGCGGCATTTCCAATATAGAATGGGTAAAGACTGTAGACGCAGCGGCCACCAGCGGGATCAGCATACTGCGTCCAATAGTATGAGACAGGCCGGCAACAGACGAGGAAGGCGACGGTGCAAGAAAACCAATATCCGATGGTCAATGCGACGCAGAGCCACATCGCCTTGTTCATTCCGAAAATGCGACGGTAGAAGAGGATGACCGAGAGCTTGATCAAGGGCACGGTAACGACGTATTTGAGGACATATGCGAACAGAATCTGCACCACCTTGATCACATCGTCTAGGGGTATAGCCCATACATGCTTTCCAAGGCCATAGTAGCCTCCTGAAGAGGGCTGGTCAGTACGCTTTCTTGGCGTTTGATCTGGCGAACGAACCGATAATGGTGGAGACGAAATTCGCAGTCACAGACAGCTGCAACCAATATAATCATCAGTATATCCATGTCGTGACTGAGAAATGGTCACAAGTACGTACCAAAGCAGCAACTATCATCCAATCATCCGCGGCAATGGAAGCTTGTTGCACCCGCGTTCTCGCGAGAAATCGAAAGGCAATGGCGATGGCCGCCAGCACGTATGTGACACTAACAGCTGCATTGTTCACTCCACGCCGGCTGGCTGTCAAGTCCGTCCCTGGAGGAGGATCTCCGAAGACACTGTTGGACATGCCTCTTGCCACTTGCAGAGTAAGACATTTCGAGCGGACTTGAATGTACCACCGGGCCCTTAAGATAGAAACCTGTTACAACACACGACCCTGTTCAATAATAGGCTGCAGTGCATCTAGTGAGCCAAAGCCGTCAATCACATTCAAGTCTTCGGATATGGCACGGCGCTAGGATGCTCTAGCGATCCTTCCAGCCCCTTTCCTGACAGCCCCGTCGGCCCCAAACCAGGCGGGCCGGCGGGTCCGTGTCTTTGACAGCGGGGTGGCTTGACTCCCGGTGCCTTTTGCCATCTCGAAGGCTCAATCCGGCCGTTTTGACGTTAGATTCCAGCGAGATTTAACGTCTGACAGGTGCGGGATCCTCCCGCCAACACAAATCTCTTTCAATCACCTCCCACGTCGTACTGTATTGGTAGACTCGCTGAATGGATTTTGCGCTAATTTATCATCCTGCGAATCAATCGGGCCTGTAGACTTACCCATTAGGGTAACCACTAACTTAGACCGGCCTGTTAGTTCCTGATACTATAAGGCTACGGCCGGGGGGAAAACCGGAAACCAAAGCACTGCGAGGATATCATATAATTAGTAAGGATGTCCCCTGTTTCAAATCCTTGGCTATTGCGAGAGCGAACCTGCGTGTCTGCAACCCCTCTCGCAAATTTGAGGATTTCTTTGCCATCACCATGCCATCCAGAGAGTCTGTCCCTACTGAATCCACAGCATATGCTGTAGATCCCAAGCGGTTTGCTTTCACTCCCCGAAAACTCAGAGCCGTCTGCATTGGAGCGGGCTTTTCGGGACTAATCCTTGCACACAAGCTCAAACACGAGCAGCCTCTTGAGTTTGTTGACTTCACCATCTATGAAAAGAACCCCGAGGTAGGGGGTACTTGGTTTGAGAACATCTACCCTGGTGTGGGCTGCGACGTGCCTGCTCACAGTTATGTGTTTCCCTTTGAGCCCAATCCGTCCTGGTCGCAAAGCTATGCCAAGGGCCCGGAAATCGAGGAATACATCCGATCGACAACTGAGAAGTACGGACTGAGAGAGAAGATCGTCTTCAACACTCGACTTGTCAAGTCTCTTTGGAACGAGGAACGGGGTAAATGGGCCCTGGAGCTGAATAAGAATGACACAACTGTCTACGATGAAGCAGATATTCTCATCAATGCCGGAGGCATCCTCAATCGGTGGAAGATGCCCAAGATTGAAGGTCTGAACCGGTTTGAGGGCAAGCTCCTCCACACAGCGGGCTGGGATGCGGCCTACGACTGGTCCGGCAAGAAGATCGCTGTCATTGGTAATGGCTCCTCGGGGATCCAGATTGTGCCTGCGCTGCAGCCTAAGGCTGCCAGGATTGTCAACTACATTCGCCAGCCAACATGGGTGTCGGTCAATTTGTGCCCGGACACGACCAGGGATGGAATGGGTACCAACTTTGTATACACTGACGAAGAAAAGGCCCGATTTCGGGATGACCCTGAAGGTTTTCTGGAGTACAGGAAGTTTATTGAACGTTCGTACGTTAACATTCAATCATTGGGCGATCTACTACTAACCTCTTACGCACAGAGTCAATACCGTCTACAAGCTGATGCTCAAGGAATCTATCTACAATCAGATGCTATACACCGCCACCGAACAACTAATGAGACAGCGTCTTAGCAAGAACCCACACCTAATCAAGAAACTCATCCCCGACACTGCTATCGGATGTCGTCGTCTTAGCCCCGGAGACGGATATCTAGAAGCCATGCAGGAGCCCAACGCAGAGTGGTGCTTTGATTCCATTGAGAGCATCACCAAGACTGGCATCCAGACCGCCCAAGGTGAGGAGGAATTTGACCTCATTGTCTGCGCCACGGGTTTCGACACCACCTTCATCCCGGGCTGGGAGATGGTAGGCCGTAATGGTCGTCAGCTGGCCAACGACTGGAAGACGACCCCGGAAGCATATTTCTCCATCTGCTGTCCCGGCAGCCCCAACTATTTCATGTTCGCCGGGCCTAACTGCCCTATTGGTCATGGAAGCGTCCCTCAAATGCTAGCCTGGACTGCGGACTACATTCTGCAGTGGGTGAAGAAGATTGCCCGGGAAGATATTCAGTGAGAGCACACCTTCTACCTATAATGAGACTTTCTCAACCACTAACAATGCCTAGCTCCGTTGTCGTATCCGACTCCGCAAACCAGCTCTATAACCGCCATGTCCAGGCAAACCTGAAACACACCGTCTGGAGCTCAGGATGCACTGCCTGGTACAATAATGGCTCGGCTGTCACAGCCATGTATCCTGGCAGTGTTCTTCACTTCAAAGGTAAACCAGCCTTCATCTATACCCTAGGTGTTTCACCAATTGCGCTGACACGTATGATAACTGCAGAGGCTATCTCTACCATCCGCGGCGAGGACTTTGATATCCGCTACCAAAATAACGCTAACCCTTTTGCCTATCTTTCTAATGGCGAGCTGGAGTGGGAGAGAGCAGAAGGGGCGGACCTGGCGTTCTATTTGAAATAGGCTGGTATTGGGTGGGCTACTTAGTGATATCATGTATACGAATGAATTATGAAACCGAAAATGGTGTTTCAATGGTAGTTCTATTCTAATATACTGGTTGCCTATTGAGGAACTCCGATAAATATGATGAATACTCAATGGACACGGCCTATTCTCACTAATTGTGCCGCACCCCTCCCCCTTGACTATGACATCCACCACAACCGCAGCTATAGGGTTTACACCTTGATTGAGTGTTGTGTCTCTCCTTTGCTTTTGAGACTCCCGAAAATCAGCTGCGGCGATCTCTGCAATATCATGCGTCTAAACTCCGGTTCCCAGAAAACCCTAATCTGGTGTGGAGCATGTTTTGCTACAAGATACATTGATACTCCGAACCAATCAAACTTTACGCCCGAAGTTCCGCTCCCCGCTCACGCCCTATACTTGACCAGCACTTAGTAGTAGTTCCTGGCACGGTTGAAAACGGTCCATTACTCTATACTCTGACAAGTATATTCCTAAACTCTCTTCTTCTTCTTCTACACACCGTACTGCTCAGATACCAGACTCGCTCATAATCCCTACACCACTCATTCTATCCTATTTGCATAGTCACACCAACCCTACATTGAAACAACCTACCTCACACCACCCCCAACATGCGCCTCGGCTTCCTCGGCCTCGGCGTGATGGGCACACCCATGGCGATAAACCTCTCAAAACACTACGCGCTAACAGCCTGGAACCGCAGCGCCAACAAATTCCACGCTCTCAAGACCTCCAGCCCAACCGCCCGCTTCGCACCCACCCCAACAGCCGTAGCCCTCAACTCCGACATAATCTTCACGATGCTCTTCAACGCGCCCGCAATCGACTCCATCCTAACCACCTCTTTCCTCTCCTCCCTCAGAGACAAAATCCTCATCAACACCAGCTCCGTCCCCGTCTCCTACAGCCAACACCTCTCGACCATCATCCACTCCGCCGGCGGAAAATACATCGAAATGCCCGTCAGCGGGAGCAAAGTGCCCGCTGAGCAAGGACAGCTCGTTGGCATGATAGCGGGGGATCCTGACGTCGTGGAAACGGTCGTGAAGCCTGTTGTTAAGCCGTTGACTTGTGCTGCGGTGTACTGTGGGAGGGAGATAGGGTCCGGGCTGAAGATGAAGTATGCGGTTAATACGTTGCTGATTACTTTGACGGCGGGGTTGGCGGAGTCGATGAATCTGGCGAAGGCGCAGGGGTTGGATTTGGAGGCGTGGGGAAGGGTGCTTGCGGCGGGGCCGATGGCGTCGAGGTATTCGGGGGTGAAGGTCGAGAAGATGCTTAGGGGGGATTGGGAGGCTCAGGCGGCGATAAGGGATTGTTTTAATAGTACGGAGTTGATTAGGGCTGCTGCGAGGGAGGTCGGGGTGGAGTGTCCGTTGATGGATGTTTGTGGGGGGTTGTATGGGAGGGCTGTCCAAGGGGGATTGGGTGGGGAGGATATGAGTGCCGTTGGGAAGGTGATTGGGGGGATGTAGGTTAATTGTGAGGGATGGATAGTGGGATGTGGTGGAGGGTGGGATATAAGGGATGATTTGGTTTCTACGAAGGAATGGATTGGGTGTTTGATGTAGGTTGAAGATCTTGTATCTGTATAGCAGTGATCCTAGATACTTCCGTTCCAGATGAGTACTGTCGAGAATACGATTACCTAAAGTTGGTTGAATATAGGAGCAACTACTCAAAAGTACATAATAGAAAGGATGCAAAAAAGGGATACCCCCTTCGACTAGAGGATAGGTCAGAGGGGTAAGAAATCCTTGACTTGATTTGATTGTTGATTATTGGGCATTGTTGATCAGCTTGGACCGTCGGGAGTGTTCCACGGTTCCGCGCCTTATGAGTGACATCGGTATACGCCCTGCGTTTCCCGCAACTAACCGCAGCCTCACAACAGTTCTCACCTGTCAGTCATAATCCCAAAGATCAGAATAAAATCATTGAACCACTTAGAGCTTTGAAGAGCCACTGATATTTCTCTCCCACTGCCCATCAATGCTCAGCCGTTCATGATGAGGCACTCCCTCCCACGCCCTGCGAAACGTCGCAACCCTCGACTCCCAATCAGATAACCTCTTGTCAATAAACGCCGCGCTAGCTTCAGCAGTTTCTTTTACCAGCTCCATTGGAAACATATGGCCACTGGGTAGCACAATTTCCTCAACAAGTCCCCGCGCTGCGCCCCCACTACCTCCCAGACCCGTACCGGTTGTTACCACTTTGTCCCGACGGGCAATCGGAGAAGACAGATCCGACCGTTCCCCAAACAGATAGAGAATAGGTGGTTTCAGATGAGGCAGTCGACGAAACATCCATGCCGACTCAGGTCGGTAAAAGGGATAATCAGCATCGTGGTCATCCGGATGCATTTCCTCCTCAGGGTTACCGCGGGGAAGTCCGGATCGCTCGTCAACATACGAAGGCCGTACGAAGTAGAATAGCTCCTGTGCTTTGGTTGTAGTCAACGTAACGGCTGATGGTCCAGTTTCGTCTGTGATGGGGTGTAATGGGGTGGGAAGGTCTCGTAGCCCGTACTGGATCCATTTGTCGAAAACGCGGGGACCCCACGTCCGATAGAATGGATTTGACTTGAATTTCGCTGCTGCTTGCTCGCGTGAGGGCCATATGTCTCGTCTGAAAGTAGATGTCTGGGCGAATTTGCGGCCTGGGTTTTCGCGCTGTATTACCGGGTCGAGCAGAATAAGACCCTCGAATAGGGATGGGTGCAATAAAGACAGGTGGGCTCTGGATTATCATCCATGAGAAATGGGCGCTTTGAGCGGATCGAGGATACTCACAGCTGCATTCCACCCATACTGTGACCGATGCCAACAAGTGGTTGAGGGATCTGGTCCTGAAATTGATTTATCATGAACAGAAGATCACGCCCGTGATCGAGCCAGTCGGCTAGAATGGCGTCAAAGAATATTCAAATAGCTTGTGCGGTGCGGGACGAGAGCTCACGATCATGGCCTAAGATGGCTTCATTCAAAACACCACTCTGTCCCTGTTGAGCAACATCTGCAATCCAAATTGATCGGATGCGTCTGTTTTGACTTGCGAGCTGCTTGTAAAGGTCATCCCATAGGGGTTCGTACAGTTCCTTATGCACAAGTTAGTCATATTGAAAATTAAAATGTAAGGAGTTGACTCACCTTTGGAAACGCATTTGCATGCGCCCCAATAATAGTGATATCCCCTTCCTTCGGGTGTGGATTATCGAGGGGGGTGTACTGCTTAACAGCAAGTCGCAGCTCGTTTTCATGACCAGCTTTCACGGCACCCGGGCGCTGTCGAACATTCTGACACCGAGCTGTGTGCTCGACAACGCGAAAGTGGGACATGTATCTCTTACTAGGCAGTATGACAAGTCGGCTGATTGATCGGAAGCCTTTTGGCTGGGTCAACATCATGAATAGGACGTAGAAGTAAACAAGATGAACCAAGCCAGTCTAGCTGTGTAATATATAGGGCCGGGTTAATAGTCCCCATAAAATAAGCCGAGGTTCAGCAAAATGTTCACCTCATCCACAGACTAGAGACTAACTAGGCATGCGTGATCCTCGTTAGTAATGCATTTCTCCAAATTGGAGAAGTCACTGTGCATTGAGATTACTCCTTTCTGACTATTGATGCAATTAACACCGATTTTATCATATTTGGGGTGAAACCTAAACAACCGCCAATAAGTTGGCAATGTGGCTTGGTAGAAAGACCAAGTATGCTCAGGTAATGCCTCGGATGGAATTCGCCAGTGATTCCTGACAAGAGGTTCATCAGGCAATTGCAGTCCATAAATCCGGCAGGAATCCTGGATACTATGTTTCAAAGTCTATTATGTTAAAGTTCGCTAGCCCGATCAGAAACAGGGAACAGGCTAGAAAAAGCATGGATCTTGTTGATGTATGGAACTGTTAATTCTGCATAATTCAAAGGACGTGTCGCGTTTTCAGGGTTTATCAAGTATCTATTCTTGAAGAAAGACATAAAAAGACTTAGCTCGAGTAAGTTAGTTGCACACTGAGTGTCATGACACTATTACGGTATAGCAAGTCCTGAGAAACATCCTTCTCCCTGGGTTACCACCGTCTTCTTCGTCCCGCTTACCAGATACACACATCCACCCAAGTCGGTGACATAAACCCCATTCTTCGTCAACTTCAATCCAATAGGCTCATGGAACTGTCTCGCGAGTATTTCCACCTTCTCCCCTAGTGTCTCTTTATCAATATCACCACTAAGATCAACCCGATTCAGGGAGCACCCCATAGGATGCTCACCGCGATCCGTCCAGTAAAGCATTTGCGTCTGCATATCGTACTCCAAATCAATCGGTTCCGGACGTCCCTCTAACAGACACTCAACATCAGTTCTGTTGTTGGCTGTTTGCCCAGCAGGAATATCAATCCCCGCACGAAATATTCTCCCCTTTCCGGATTTGCTCGGCCCTTTCTGGGTCCAGTAAATACGCCTAGTCCCCCGATCAAGGGCCACACCCACGCAAAACCGCATCATATCTTTCCTTTCTGATGGGACTTTCAACGACCCAGTTTGAATCAGTATTTGATGATCAGTTCCATCAAAGTTGCACCGGTGCACACTCATTCCCTCGCGATCGCAGAAATACAACTTCCGATCCACATCGTCAACAATGAGCTGTTTGGGTGTATAAACCGTTCCAGGCTTCAGGAGCGTGTGGACATCACTCCCATCGAGCTTAGCCGACTGCACAGACCCGTCACAGGCAGAGAGGGCGTGCCCCATGCTCGTCCAAAACATCCGCCCATAAGAAGGAGAAACATCAATTCCATCTGGATAGGACAATCCACTGACAAGGGTAGTTCGTTTTCCACTCTTCGGAGACACTGCGAGAACACGACCCGCTGTCCTTGCATCACGCAGTGCGTTATTATCCCCGGTACCAACATCCAAGACATAAAGCTTCTCAGACATGCTCCCCTGCTCGGCGGGATACAACCCACCAGATTCGCACTTATCGCCCAATCGCCCTTTGTTGATGTAGTTTTCACGTAACCAATCAACCGTCTTGTCCCCAACCAGCCCCCTTTCCTGGATGTAGTTCTCTTCAATAGCTGCAACAGTATCCAAGCCAACCTGATCCATCAGCTGACACGGTTGGCCACTTGTTGGGCGCTGAAAAACTTCCTTCCATAGTAGGTCAATGTCATCGGGGGTGCTGACTCCTTCAGCAAGGATACTAAGGATCTCTCGCTTGATGGCTGCCCAAGAACGGCCAAATACAAATCTGCATAAGATCAGCATCAGTCTCAACCATAGCACCACCTACACCGTAAACTCAAGAATCGAAACGAGTCATACCCTGTACTTTCCCTCCGCACCATAAAAGGACACATCCCACATTTCTCCAACAGCTCCATCATTTCATGCATCACCTCCTCTTCAGTCGAACCACAGGTCATAACCTCCACTGGCCGCATCTCTGGCGGCATCATGAAATGTACATTCATCACCCTCTTCTTCCTCTCCTCACTCAAACCAGGAACCATAAGCCTTGATTTGAACGAACTTGAATTTGACGCGAGAATACAATCCCCAGGCACGTATCTATCCACTTCCTCAAAAACCTTGATCTTGAAAGGGAGCTGCTCCGGAGTTGCCTCCATGACTAGCCATGCGTTCTCAACCGCAGTCTTCATGTCAGAAAAAAGAGACAGCCTTCCCCGGTCAGGATGTGGCAAAGGCGTCAGCACAGTGAACGCCTCGCCAGACGATTTAATAAATGACTCCGCGGCGGAGAGAGCATTCTGATTAGGATCAAAAAGATGCACAGTGTAAGAACCAGCGAGGAAGACGGCCGCGATCCGACGACCTAGAATACCCGCCCCGAGGACAGTAACTGGTCTTGAGGGGTAGTGTATGTGGGCTTTGTGGAGCGTCATGGTGAGTTATGTCTGTAGATACTAGTCGACGTTGGAAACACTTCACTGCTGGCTTAGCCAGTTGATATTATGTACTCATGTATAATGATTATATTCCAGATAAATCGCTACATAAAGTAATAGAAGATGATAATAAACTTTCTTAGTGCCCTGCATATCCTGGTTTTCGGCATGCCGACAACCGGTTCTCAATGTCTGGAAACCCGCCCGGAAATTGGCTCGGAGAGGGAAGCAGCGCAAAACCTGGGACTTTGGAGCTGGACCTAAATTGTCTGAAGGCTAGTCGGACATATCCTACTCTGATCGCTTTGGTGGTTGCTTTCTTGGACGTAGAAAGATCGGTGTCGTCATCGCGAACTCTGTTCTGGAAACTCTGAAGATGTGTCGGTCGATGGACGGCAAGGGGATGAGCGGATACAATAAGTTTAAGATCCATGATTGATGGTTACCTGTACCATGCTGTTGCTATGCTTCATTGAGAAAGAGACTTTGTGCCCGTTTTAAGTATTGCTTTGTGCTAGAATCATATTCTAGAGATCATTTTTTGATCGGGGATGGTGGTTGGGACTTGTTCATCGTCACGACGCCATGGGGCAAGCGTACCGGGCCCTATTACAATATTTAATCACGAACAAATTCCATATTAGGTGATAAAATATTCTTGCTTTCTCACGTGTGCGACATGGCCGTATTACCGATGAGATAAAAGCTACTACTTTTTGATCACGGGGTCTCGCTGGGGTCCTTTCTCACATCAGTAAGAAAAGGTACCATGCAAGCAATCATTAACGCCCTCATATGGCCCACTACAACCATTCAAAACAAGCCATAGTATATAACAAGGTAGTTAATAAACAAGATAAGGGTGCAAAATAACCATGCATCCACCCTCTGTATACTGTATAACTAATATAAAGATTGTATCAATATTTTTGTCCATAATGCATAACTCATATCATCTCATAAATAAATAAAGGGCAGCATGCACCTATTTTTATACCCATCACCACCATAGTTTACACCCCCAACTGACTCGCCACAACCGGATCATTCCAAAACGCGCACCTCTTCACCAAATCCTCACCATACGCAGCCTCCTTCCCACTCCCAGTGAACCTCATCTTCGGACCACCCAAGACCTGCAACTCCGGCGTAGTGGAACTAGTATTCACCGCATACGCCTGCTCCCATCCCTTAACACTACCCCTAGCACGGCTCGGATTACCATAGTACGCAAACGAAGCCCAGCTAGCACCCATCTCCGACGCAAGCTTTCGGTCCGATGCGGTAGAGATATCCTTGAACAAACCACCGGTAACAGAGTTAAACAGATACATAATATCACTGAAGTGCGGAACACCGTAGTACGTCATGCCCGAGGACTCAAACACCTCCGCAAAGGCCGTTTGGTTAAGTGCGTAGAGGTAGTTCGAGACATTGGCGGGGGTGAGTGGCGTACTTAACGTTCGTCTGGATGGTCAGGAGACTGGGACAGGTGAAGTCAAAATCGCGATGCATCTGGCTAGCCCGGAAGTAGTGCGCGGAGATGTTTGCGGATGGGTCAGGGGAGAAGTCTGAAACGGGGTAGAGGTCCAGGGCTTTGGTGATGGTAGCATTGGAGAGGTTGGGGTAGCTGTCTTGGAGGAAGGCGGCGATGTCGGATGAGGAGTTTAGAGTTTTGGAAGTGAAAAACGCGCCGTCGTTTTCGCACCATCCGGAGATGAGGTCGATGTTGCGGGCGAATTGGCCGGTTCGGAGAAGCTGCGAGGGGGCATCGGGGATGAACGATGAAGGGGCTGTGGGGATGAAGACACCCATGCCGCCCATTGAGTTGAGGGAGATTTCGTAGGAGTAGGCCGTGTTGAGGAGGGTCTTCATTGGGAGACGACGCAGGCATTCCAACTCCTCTCTGCTGGAGGACGCGGTGCAGTTGACCAGGTTGGTTAGGGTGGCTGTGTGTTGGCCTGAGGTGTTGGTGGTGGTTCCGGGGGTCGGCGTTGGCGCCGCCTGATTCCATGATTGCGCGCTGGAAGGGCACTTTGGGCACTTTGCCGCCATAGGCTGTAAGCTGCAGGCCGACGCCTGTTGCGCCGTCACTTTCGCCAAAGATGGTGACCTGGTCTGGGTCGCCGCCGAAGGCGGCAATGTTCTCTTGGACCCACCATAGGGCTAAGCGCTGGTCCAGCAGACCGGCGTTCAGGGAGTCAGATTCGTTTAATGCAGATGATGAGGCGAATCCGAAGATGCCGAGACGGTAGTTCATCGCAACGTAGATGATGGGGACATCTTTCTGGGCGGCTCCGTAGACCAGGAGGCTTGGATCATAGGCAGAGTCGTAGATTTGGCCGATGGTGTCGCCGCCGCCGTAGATCCAGACGAGAACTGGTAGACGGGCTGAGGGAGACGTGTTGAGTGGCCGGTCGACACGCAGTGTCAGACAGTCCTCAGAGATGGAGGTGACATTGTCAAAGATCGGAAAGTCTGCAATAGGGTCCTTTTGCTGGGGACAAGCTGCACCGGACTGAGTGGCATTCACCACAGAGCCGGAGGGATAGTTGTAAGGTTTCGGGTGAGCAAAACGGTTGCTCCCGCTCGTGTCTTCACCAAAGCGGATGTTGAGAAAAGATTCGGTCAAATTGCTTGCCGTCCCCTTGAACGAGACGTTGGAATCAGGGAGATGCACTGTAGGGATTGTGCTCGAGAACAAAGGGCGGGCAAGGCCCAATGTACACGGTGCTGCGAAAAGAAGAGAGAAAAGAGAGAAATGCATTGTTGGTGGTAAGTCTGGGTTGGGACAAGAATTCTCTTCTTGCGGAATTTGAGGCCCTTATATGCAATGAACTGCTCAGCCTCGTGGCAGGGAATTGATGTTGTCAGGGTTTGAGGCAGTGAGGCCTGGCCGGTCATAATTGGCTGGACGTCAGGATTTCCCCATCGAGAAGGCATCGCGAAAATCTCATCGTAATGATAGGCTCTTCTCTGAGCTAGTTAAGATCTTGGTATCAGCACTAGTGATGTTCTTTCCATCGAAAAGCTGCGATCGGGACGCTGTGCCTCACCCGGCGATGCTTTTCCGGCTGGATTGCAATGCGGTCTGACTCAGCCTCATTATCAAAATTGTCTTTGTTTTTGCCTGACCCATTGCGATGGGTCATCAATGAGTAGGCTACAACCAAAGAAAGATATCTGTTCCCATCTCTCTTTCTTAATGAACTAGTAATACATCTATCTTTGGTGAAATCAAAAGACGTAAAAGGGATGAATGTGATCATGGCACAGAATGATGACCCCTGGGTCTATAGCGAGTAGGCCATATCGCGAAGATTACCAATGACGACGGCCTTGACTCAGTTACAATCGGACAAGTACGCCATAGTACCTCTGGTCATTATTTAAATCTGATGTTTGCTGTAATGACTCGGAACGCCGGATGTGTTATAAGGACGGATATCTCATTGATTTCCCACGACTTCTCAACAGGTTTGAAGATGAGGACTGCATACAGCAAGCTGATCTATCTGACAAATTGCTGAGATATTCATAATTTACAATATCAAGTGCACACAGTATCCCGCTTTCCGCAACTGAATATTGGGAGGACTTTATGAAGATTGCGTGGGACGAAGGTAGTGATGGAAATCCTGCAAATGATCCAGTGCTGTGTATGAATGGTATGTTACTCACTCATTGTTTTGTCTACATGTTTAAGCTGATAGTTATTTCTACCACAAATTGTATCCAGGTTTATAATAACTGTTACTGTCTTCAAAAGTATCGTGAAAGTTCACATAGCGTGTAAGAGGTTTGATGCATCCTGATTAGCTATGAAGGCATTGAAAAGACAGCACCCATCTTTCACACTCAATTCTGTGCAATTCCACAATTATAACAGAGGGTTAGAATCGTAGGGCTTCGTTCCTATACTGTGTAAGGAAGCGAGCAATTCCCTACCGAGCAGCATATGAGGCAATCAAACACTTGCCGAGTACAGCAACCAGCTTGCTTCATTTCCCTCGATAACTGGGATTGTGACTGATCGTTAGGAAAAGTTACATAATAGGTGGAAACGCAACCCTAGCGAGATTGTACTACTATCATGAAGAAACGCCGCTCACCCTATGTAGTCAGTCTTACGGGGGCTGCCCTGGCATAATGAAGGTCATTGCAACATGCTTCACAACAAGCGCAGCAATATATACAGACTGACATCTGATAGACACTCCCAACTGATCCTTTCAAACAAAAAGGCGAATACTACCTACTACTACTCATTCTCGAGGTATTTTAGATTTGCAAAAAGCATAAAAACATACAACAGAAGGGATTCGCTGGTGGTCACCCACCCAACTACTAACCTCCCGGCGTGTGGCTTAAGTACGGCTGAGCGGACGGGAAGCCCTGTTTTCCACACCCTATGGTCGTATGTACTATATGGAACATGAGAAGAAATGATATAGAGCGAGTAAGAGAAATTTTCTAAAAACAGTGAAGTTCTTGAAGAAGTTCCGCTGAGGAATCCTGATCAAACACAGCATATGTAGGCCAGATATGAAGATTGATATCCACGCCCAAGCCATCGTGGGTGGGTATGAAATATCCGCCCTACTATAGCGCCGCACGAAAAGTCTCTTGCCTTAAATGTTGGCTGGAGATCGTAAGATGCGGGTTCACGAGATCTGGATACCCATGAATCTTAGAAAGCTACCGAGCAGGGTCTTGATACGACGATGCTCTGTTTACATGTGGCTGTGGATCGGTCTGGAGCCTCCAATAATCGTTTCGCCCATTCCATATCAGCATCATTGTTCCTTTCAGTAAGGTTCAGTTAGGGTATAGCCGAGAATAGATCACAGTTTCAAACACACTCAAGATCCGCTTTACTTTTTGTGTGCATTAGTCCAACAGTCGAGGGAGTCGAATCCCCCAACGCAATCTGGAAATCATATCTGCGGCGGAGCCGTGTTAAAAGTATTGCGAGCCAATATTTGATCAACCTAAAGCAATATATGCTGGCAATATGCGGTGATAGCTTGAATAATATTGACCCGTGAAGTCAGTTACAGTGGCTTTTGGCTTTTGAAGTAATCTGGAGCACTCCATACCAAGGAAGCCAAGAAAAGCCCCGAGTGTGAAGAAGCAGAAATGGGGCTCGTTCCACGCCGAGACATCGAACAACTTGCGGCAGCTGATGGCTGGACTCTCGTCTTCATGACTGATAGTAGCAAGACAAGCGTACAAAACTTGAAGAGTGCCATGACCCGGGTGGACCCACTGAAGCCGATGGATCTGGCGCTGTGCTGAAAGATAATAGAGTAGAAGACACCTCCGAGGAAGCTCGCATTGGGGGTTAGCCATCTGAGGGAAGCAACCGGCAGGTCAACTTTAGGAATTACATACCAATGCCGCTGCCGCTTCCAGCCACCCCAACAGCGAATGCCATATGTGTTGAGAAATACGTAGGCAATATTGCAATACTCGGCACAAAAAGGCACCCTCCACCCAGTCCAACAGTCATGCCTTGTGCGAGTACAATTTACCAATACTCTCTGCACAGGCTGGTCATAAAAATGCCAAACACCACAAGAAATGTCCCGATCAGTAGTAAGAGGTGGCAATATCCGTAATCGTAGAGCGGCCCTGCGATGGCACCTCCAAAGAGAAACAAACATTGCTGGATAGAGCCTATCCAGGCGATGTTGGACGGGGTTTGTTCTGCTAAGAGCTCAGTTCCGTAGTACGTCTGAAAGGCGCCGTATGCATTTGCTAGGCCCCTAGGAGGATGGTATAATTAGCCTTGGCCTACATTACTGGAGAAAGTGACTACAATGATAGACACTTCGACATACTGACCAATAATTGAACATAAGGCACCAGCTTCCCGCAACTTGCATCCAAGCGACCCATCCGCCGTTAGGAGGTGGTGATGGCTGTGAAGGGACATCAAGTGGCATAAGTGCTTCGTGAGTGTCTTCCGGCATAATTTACAATGGACCCACCTATACAAGGCTCTTGTAAAGACTAATGAGAAGAGTAGTTTTGAGTTAGGCGATAGGGAGCTTGGCGGCAATATGCATCACAGAACATGCTGCATCCTAACCAACAGGCATTCCTTTATTACGTGGCACAGGACTCTAATAATTCACTCAAAAGGTGGGCGCTCTGAATTTGTTGAACTTAGACGGTGACGGACAGGAATTGCTAGCTATCACAGTGAATGAACACATGAGAAGATTCAAGTACTGTACCGTCAACAAAGCGCATTATGTACATAGAGCAATGTTGTTACTCAACCTACATTCAGTCAGATTGGACAGAAAGCTGGCTACTGGAGGTTAACACATTTAGTCTGACTGGTGGCTATGTCTTGTCGAGCAATCACTACGAAAAGCACGCAATTGATTTACATTCACTCCCGACTCTTGACTACCATCATGCTTCTTGACCGTCATTCAACCCAATCACCCCCAATGGGGTTCGGTATCGATCCCACAAGCGCAATAAACTTAGTAGCTTATGTCTGTACAGTACTTATTATGTCTGGCTTTCTGTCTATGCAACGCAATCAAAAAGCTATGTAAGAGTCCACCGTCAAACTATTTAACGCTCTATCTGATTCTAGCTCTTCTCGATAGTCATCACCACCCATCCACATAGCAACCTGATACCACCAGCTGTCTCTCCCGAAGCGCATTGCTGTCGTGTATTCCCAAAATTCGGGATACCAACCTCCAGATTCCCAGTCGAGAAAGCCAGTCAAGTGCCCATCTTCACCGATCAGAATGTTATGAGCTTTGAGGTCTCCGTGAGTGAACTTGACTTTATATGGGCGCTGTTGTAACTGTCTCGCAGTAGCGAATGTATTATTGTATTCATCAACAGATTCGAAACCATGCTGAGATGCTGGTGCAAAAAGGTGCTGGTAGAATGATTTGTGATCTTTGAAAGGACCCATGATGTGATCAGGGACGCGCGAGCTGCGGAGGGCCGTTCCATTAGGCGAGCAGATAATATCCTGACTTGGTGGCTCCCACTCGCGCATAGCGTGGACGCAAGTCTTCAGTTCCTCGAGCCATGGACCTTCGTCAGCAACCTCCAAGGGATCATCGGAGTTCATAAGGCTGAAGCCTGGCAGTCTCGTCATGAGTATTGAGACCTCTCGGGTCAAGTGAGGAGTAACGTGCTCTCCGCAGCTGAGGACTCTTGGGACTGGAATACCAGCTGCTCGAGCCATTTGCATTGCAATGACCTCCTCCACGCTCGTCCGATCGGTCCATTTTAGAACGAGTCCAAACGGCAGCTGGATAATGTGCGGGTCAAAATATATTCCGAACAGGTAGCAGTAGCACCGTGAGAGGTGGTAGAGCAAACCATGTGCTTTACCCCGAAGCCATCTGCTATTGGCGCCTGGTACGGCGGGCACCGGTGGGGTTACTCTTTGGACCGTAGTAACAGCGGGTGCCGGCCAGGTATAATCGGGAGTTATAACTGAGGGGATAAGGGAGAGCCACATTTCGAACAGCGCCCTCCAGAAGATGAAGATGTCAGCGTTTCTCGGGCGCTGTACGGAGTAAACAAAGATATGCCGGACAATTGATATTGCGGTCCCGACATGGCCCTGCGTATGCTTCCCTTTAGGTATTATACACCTAGCTAGCTAGATAATGGTATAGAAATGCAAACTCTATGGTGAGACAGAAAGAAATAAATCCGTCCCTGGTGGTTAATGTGGGTGGCGGTGACATATTGCACTTTAGACCCGTAAAACTGAGCCATTCTCCAGTAGGAGGCACTCGGAGTACTACTAGGCAGACATGCCAAGGGCAAACTCGTTAGCCATGTCCAAGACCGAGATCAGGATGAGGATTCATTTGCCTCAATCATGGCCTTTAATTAATCCCGAACATGACATTACTGACAAATCCCTGTATAGCTTAATGTAATCGTCCTCTCACCATTGTCTCAAATCGGTCTAACTAGTTACCTCATAGTTTACCATATTCCACACCAGGAGCGTAGAATATGCTAGCACCTTCAAGGTAGCTACCCAAGGGCCACTGATTGTTATACATGATATCCACAGCATACGGCTTGTCCATGATCTCGTTCATAGCTGTCATAGCCGCATACCTTACAGATAGTTTATCGCGTATCGCCCAGCCTTTTTTACCCGGCGTACTGTCTGGACCCCGATAACGTAGTGCTTGGTGCAACTGTTAAAGACCCAATAGCCGGCAATTGAACTGGTAATATCCATCCCGCGGAGAGTATCTTGGGCGCCATGGCTTGATCGGCAGATGAAATTCCAACCGTGATTGTACAATAAACTTAGTTCTTTACCCTGCGCCAAATAAAGCAAGATTACACGTAGAACAATCGAATTTTGTATGATCCTTTGTCAATACCCGTCAAACACACGTGGAAATCCTGGAGGCGACTACCAACGGGACATATCAACGCCAACTGTCTCACGCCGATCTCCTGTAACACTGCCTAATGCAGTAGCTCCATTACTCAACCGGATCGATCTTGTCATATGGAATCTTACATCGGGATATAATGCTATTGGTGCGTTCTGGCAGGTGACAATACATAGCCGAAGGCCGTACGACCACGGGTAGTCGTCCGAGGATTTGATACACCTATCATCACCTGGACTTGAAGCAAAACCCTTAATCGCAGAGGTTAAACGCAGGCCATTGTTGCAGATATCCTTGACGTTACACATTCCCAGCGCTTTGGTAAAATTGGAAATCTGCTTGTTTTTCGGGCACCTCTTGAAGATACAATACGATTGTCAGCGACATTAGTATGGCTCTCTTGAATCAACCTTTAACGCCAAGGGCGCAACTCGGATAAAACTCCATTCTCTCGTGTCCGTATGCTTTTGCGAGGAAGGTTTGGGGTAGGGGCCTGATTCAGACCCGCCAATTGTAAGAGCATACTTTCATTTGAAGATCACACGAGGTATCATGGGATACATCAACTATCCTATTGTCTCGTGTTGGCTTTACCTCTTTGCTCACTCGTAGGCAAAATGTGAAAGTTAGATTTGATTAATTGGCAACATTGATTCGTGGGGCATTGATTCAGGATCACGAACTAGAATTCTAATACCGCTCCATCCACACAGATGTTCATCTCGTAATGAGAGTAGCTGTGCCAAGTACTAGACATAGATCCCTTGACTGTTATGATCGAACACCGGCCAAACCTACAGGATAAGCGAGTGGAGTAGCGTCAGAGTCGACATGGCTGGTATAAGAAAGGTGGCTCTCCACGGATTTGTTCAGGCCAATGCAACGTCCATCAGACCCTTTGAAGCACACTATAAAGCAAGATACTCTTTGTCCTCATCATGCATCTTATTTCTGTTGCCATCGCCACCCTTCTGACGACTGCCAGCGCCATCAGAATTATCAAGCCCGCAGCTGGTGACACTGTTCACTGCAACCAGCCATGGCAAGTGTGCTGGACCGCCGTCGAGTAAGTATCGCGAAAGACTCAAAATTCTGAATCATGGTCTAGTTCCTGAGCTAATGTACATACATTCAGCACTGACCCGCCACAGTTCTGCCTCTATCTCACCAACTTTAGGGAATTCCCTCCCCAGATCGTCGATCTCCTCAGCCGGACGCCCATCACAACTCATGGTGGCGGCTGTGTGACGATTCCTCCGCCAAGTTGCCCATCACCTCTTCGCACAACGTATGTGGTAGTCTCTAATCGAGTACAATTCGTGGGGTGCGTGTCCAATATTTGCTGACATGGAGATTGTGTGGGTCCTTTAGTCCTTATCGCGTCCGGGCTGCTTCCTGTTCGGATTCCAACACTATCTACGCTGAGTCTGCGAATTTTGCTCTCGTCCCTTAAGTTCCTGCCTATACCAAGAGACGTGTACGCGGGGTGGGATTGTAGCACGTCAGGCCGTACTGTAGTTAACAACCAGGCTGATAGGAGGGAAGTTACTTAATAGTCTGTTCTGTTCATTGGCAAGTTTAGTATGCCGCAGGCATGGGGCGAAGCGCAACATCGCTGATCATGACTGGCTTCAACAGTCAGTTCTTTCGTTCGTTTCAAGACTTTCACTTTTGTTAGGTCGTATTTGTTCGAACTTAAGTTAGTTTCCTGCTTTTCTACGGCCTTTTGCTTTTACGAGGAAGGACATCCAAGGCATCTTACAACTCAGTTGAAGGCACAGGACCAGCCGCGAGTCGCTTTAGTAAATTCAGGCTCTAGAATGGTAATATTAAGTATTGCAGTATGTTGTAACCAGCCTTGCCAATACATGATTGAAAGCTTGGATCAGTACTTGAGAACCAACTCAGCTGGTATCTCGAATTTAAAGCTGCTGCTTTCAGCATAAGAAGTATAGTTGTAATGGGCAATTTCGATCATCTATATACGGAGTCTCCATGAAACCCTAGGAAATAACACGTAACCGAGTTGACTCTCTGATAGCGTTACTTTCAGTTATAAATTCAAGTAAGCTACAAATGATACTGTGTATGACTGTATATCTTCACGTGATATATTATTACTACGGCAACAGACATATCGTGCTTGCGGAACGCTTCTTCCTTCCCAGCAGTCAGATGCATAAAGGGAGCTTTGGAACCATTATTCGGCATCCATCATACCAACTGACCATGAAGTGTCATGCCCAAATACTTGGGCGCTCTATTCTCTCAACAACACCTATTCGCCAACCATGTTTCTCCCCACCAAGTGTCAGGTCGCCCCGCTGTGCCCAGAAGACCCACTCAGGCTTATTTGCACGGCTTAACTCCACAAAGCCACAGGCTAGCGTGGAGTAACAATTGGATCAAGGGGGTGGAAGCCCTTGAAGAATATCAGCCTGGAGGTTACCACCCGGTTATGATTGGTGACATGCTCCATAACCGGTACCCCGTCGTAGATAAACTAGGTCATGGTGGTTACTCTACCGTCTGGCTTGCTCAAGATACTGTCCTCAAGAGATATGTCGCACCGAAAGTCAACACAGCGAATGCGCAACCACGCGAGGCAAAGGTACTTAGAACACTGTCCAAACTACCCACATCCTTATCACCTCCAGCCCACGGACGCAGCCTAGTGCCGATGATTTTCGACGAATTCCAAGTACAAGGTCCAAACGGGATACATGCGTGCTATACTACAGTTCCCATCAAGCGCTGCGATGGAAAGCCCCTTACACCTAATATCCCAGCTCAAGCGGTGAAGCCTCTATTTCTAGTGTAATACGCCGAAACGATGACGTTGGCCGATGTACGTCCACTTCTAAGCGACTTTGGCGAGGCCTTCGCTCCTGCCTCAAAGGTTCGACTCGGACAAGACTGTCACACACCTCCGGCCTTTCGCTCCCCAGAAGCCAGATTTGAGCCACAAAGGCCGCTCACATACTTCTCAGACATCTGGAGCTTAGCTACGGCAATATGGGAGTTTCTGGGAATGAAAGCTATCTTCAGTATTGAGATAGTTCCCGACGATGAAATCGTGGCACAACATATAGATGTACTGGGACCAATGCCTAGGGAGTGGTGGCTGCGTTGGGAGGGGAGAAGCAAGTTCTTTACAGAGGGTGGGCATACAACAGACGCATATCTGGATGATAAATGGCCTCCCCTTGAAGAGTCATTCGACATAGACATACAGAAATGGAGGAGAAAGTGGAGAGGTGTGGTTGAGGAGGAAGAGAGAGCCGCGTTTTTGGATCTGATCCGCAGAATGTTGCTATTCCGACCGGAAGCACGACCGACGGCTGAAGATGTGCTCCAGTCGGACTAGATGGTCAAGTGGGCGTTGCCGGATTATGAGCAAAGTTTAACTACACCTTCTTGATATAATAGGTATGCAAGGAGGTAAACATAGTTACTAGTAGCGAGACTCAGCCAGAAAATCCGCTCATTAATCATGACCTAAATAAGATTTGCCGTTCTTGTCCATCAAATTAACACAACGACCATCATATCGATTGTTTTTCTCATCAATATTTCATAACAGGAAAAGCCTAAACACATTAAAGCATAACAACAAAACACACTTTTCCAGCAGCTATGTATTAGACCGTACTCCGACGTTAGAGATCACCTTGAAGGTGGACGCCTCTGAATTCTTCGGCTGCTGCCTTTTTCTTCGCTATGGCATTGATCCAACCGGCAAGACGTATAGCCGCCTTGAAGATTTGTTCATCAACAATAGGCGCAGCTACCTCATAATACTCTCCACCCAGATCGTTCTCCTCAAGCCACTCAAGTCCCCTTTCCATCACGAAATCACAATTTAGCTGATTTGATTCCGTCGCCCACTGCTTGATGCACTTCAACGGTTGTCGAGTATTTGCACACTCGGTATCAACTGATCGCGGCCTGTTTTCCCGGTGGAGTCTATCAGCCCACTTCGCTGACGCCAGGCGTTCAGGATTATGTTTGAGACTGTGCTTTATGCCATTGATCTTATGTGGAATGGCGGTATCCCAAACTGAGTGTAGGTTCCATTTCTTGTTGTCATCGTCGCACGGGTCCTTGCCATCGAAGCAGACATGAATATCATTCCCACCTCTTGCCAATCCCGTGACGTGCAGTGGTTGGTGTAGGTCCCCAAAAAGGTGAATCAAAAACATCAAGGCCTCCTTTTTCTGGGTATTATTGGCTTTCTTGTCCTTGATTTGATGAGTCTATAGTCCCAGAATATTAGAGACCGAGGACGCCGAAGGACGAAAGTAAGAAATATTTCGTGTCAACGATATTGTGGATACAGGCAGCTTACCATATTTGCCATCAGTGAGATGATACAGCCTTCGGCAGGGCAATCATCCGGATATGAGACGGAACATGAGTTTGGAGGTTCGTCATTTGGGTCTGAAGCCAGGTCAGATGGTGAATGTCTGATATACTACTTGTACAACATACTGATATAATGCAAGGGTCTAGTGAGCGGTCGTTTCCACTTGATGGTGTCCGCCCACGTTGCGGCGTCGGAGATATCAAAGTCATTATCGTTGGCGAGAAGCTCATTCACGAGATTAGAGCCGCTAGTAGTAAGGTGTTTCTCAGCCAAGTAGGCGATAGCTCGATGCCCAACATCCCCCCAAGCAATCGCTGGCTGCACTGACAGCGTACAGATTGTGAAAAGGAGGGAAGCCCGCATTTTGATGGTACGTGGGATAATTCTGGCCCCTATATAATTGAACAGTGGGTTTTGAGGTACAAGCACGAACATGCCAAGGGCACCGTTTTCTTACAACATCGATGCGGCCAATTGCCCGGTTTTGTAAGAGCAGCAAGAACACTTACCCTAACTACATACCATTGGCCATCCTAAAGCCGTCATAATGACATTGATGTAGCCTGTAATATAGAACCTCAGTACATAGTTCTCCGCACTTGACACATGAACAGAAAGGCTCTAATCATACGAAACCTACTCCCGCAGACAGCCAAACTACAGGGACCCACGGTACAATATGGCTCAATCTTGCTAAGATTTCTATGTTAATCCGAGGCAAGAAACCATGGTGTGGCTCGATCTTGAATTCTAGCTCTGGCCTATTCTTTTAAACTTTATCTCTCCAGTGGATAAAGCTGCCGAACACACCATGTATCGTAATCATTTTCACACTGTCAATTATTGAAGTCAAACTTTGCCACATAAACCATGGATAATTGACAGTTCGGATATTTTACTCTTTTTTGCGAAGAGTCCTTTCTATTACGACGTCTTTTTGTTAAACGATCAAAGCGCTATACCACGGAGGGCGCGCTGTGGCCGCTAAATGGCAACTGCCATTTATCGCCAACAACAAGAAGTAACCGAGCCTACAAATGTTTGACCTTCCGCCAGGTTTGCTACTCAACCCATGTCCTTGAATGTACTTCCAGAATTATTATTGTTAGCTTAGTAAGTAATACACACAGATTAGCCATATCTGACAGTCTGGATCAGCACTTCGTAAAACGAAAATGAGATGGAAGAGTAATTGTGCGCCACAAGTATTTTTCATCGCTTCCCAATTTAACATTTTACGACATTTCCAACATTATCAAGACAAAAGTACCGAACTTGGCCGCAGAACGACTCAAACTCAATGGGCAAAAACAATCGGACGGCCTTCTGTCGCTCCCTGCCGAGCCCCATAGCTGACCCCATCGACCCTCAGTCCTTCCTCATTGAGTAGGGTGATAGTATCACCATTATTAGAAAGAGGGCAGTTTGACATCTCAAACCTCTTCATAGCTCGGGAGTCCAAAGCTGCATTGTGAGGAAGCGCTTGAACTTGACCAGCAGCATTATGAAACCTCCAAGATGCTAGGGCTACTCTGTGATTTGTAAGGTTCTCAAGCGTAACGAACTCTTTTTCTTTGGCAGTCCGGTCATCTCTGCCTCGTGGATTGATGAGTGCTTCCTTGATAGCCACCGAATTCTCAATGATCTCCTTGGGTAGAACGTCCGCCCAGGTAACGACGTGCTTTGCGAAAGCATGTCCATTGTGGTCATCGGTGTGAGCGGCTTGTGATGCGAATGCGAGGAAAACGCCAGTCCAGTGATCTTCGTACTCAATGAGGAGGCCGCCATCTTGAAATACGCCATCATCCTTGACAAAGTGTGGAATATTGCCCTGGTTCATGTGAACGTTGTGGATTCCGTTTCTGGTGTTGAACATAGAGCCGAATAAATATATAGTAGCTTTTTTGTGGATTGCCTTTTTTACCTCAGGCTCCAGGACATCAATTATATCGTTATTTGTGCCAGGAATGTCATGGGGAAGAACACGGCCGCTCTGTGTGGTGAAAAGATTTCCTCGAATGAAGTCGAGGCCTTTACCATCGAAATCGGTGAGGTCTTCAATTGGGTGAAAGCCGAAGTCCAAATTAGATAGCTTCTCGGCGATGGGGTGCTCGACAATGTTATGGTTCACCCAATAGGCAAGCCGGGACTCCTTGCCAGTGGACTTGATGTTGATAGCTGCACGGAATAATCCAGGGATCTCCCTTGGCTTCTGCTTGTTTGGTGGATTGCCCTTGTGTTTGTGTCGGTATTCACGGTCGAATTGAGGCATTTTTGCATTATTGTCATGGTAGTACAGCGAGAGATGGGGGGATTTGGGGTCCTCAAAACGATCTTCCAGCTCGTAGTGAGCTGGAAATCCCTTCCAGATTCCGTAGTCTTTGACGGGCATGGTGTTTATGAGTTATGTAGCAGCGTGGGAATATATATTATGCTAGTATTGTTATGAAGCTAAAAGGAGCGAAGGCTAAGTCCAAGTGCAACGGATCTAATATATCTCTGGGGGATTTTGAGGAGGGGAATGTGGAACGAACCACGCTTTTGCCCTCATCACCGTTACAGTTCGATCTCTTCTAGTCTGGAGCGGTCTACCGTGTTGCATCTTTGGTGCTCGGTCGGCTTCCAGCCCGTTCCATGGTTTCTGGGAGCCAATATAAGCTTATGTTGTAGTGTATTATCACGCCAACGCATTTCACGTGGACACCTGTACTGGATCAGGCCACTTCAGTCACATTAGAGGAAGATATATGCATTTAAAGCAATTGGTTTCTTAGATAGCATCCGTGTCGTGCCCTAAGTGGAAGTATGAGGAAGAGATGCCCAAGAGGGTAATAGTTTCTGGACTGACAATATATTCCGCTCATCAAGAGCCTCATGGCTGTGCAAGCAGGGGTTCGTCCACCTCAATGCGTTCTTGAAGGCCTCGTTGGGGCATCACCGGAATAAATAATAAATATAGCCTGATGCCTTATATTGTTTTCTTTGCATTTGAACAGCAGCGTCTCGTGAAGGGCTGTCAACCTCGTATTCGTCGATCCGCTAACTCTACTATTTAAAGTTATCCGTATTCAACGCCACCCCCTCCTTGTGGGAATGGCTTCCGCGAACCAACCTCTCATGTTTCTTATTCATATTTGTGCAGGCATCCACAAATGCTTTTCATGACCCAATTATGCCTTGTTTTACATTTGACTTTCCTCGTGATGAGAATTGAGGTTTGCGCTGTAGGAGTTCACTCCGCACCAGCTGTAGCCAAGGAACGCCGCGTCGGATCACCAGCATCTGCTGGATACGAACGAATCTTGGCTTCGTCCAAACTTGCCCAGTTTGCGGGAGATCTCGTGTTCGAGGGCAGATGATGTGAGGCTGACTGCCCCAATGGTGGCTGGGGCTCAGTTGAGGTCTAGTCAATTCCGAATAAATGGAATAGGGGTTCTACGAGTTCATAGTGGGCGTAGGAAATAGCATGTGAAACGTGCACTTAAACCACAGAATCCTAAATATTCACATGCAAAATGTCACCTAAACGTCTCATTGTCTGCTGCGATGGTATGTCGATTGAACTACTGGAGGAAGCTAGCTCCGTGCTAATAATGGTCGGTTCTTCCAGGAACCTGGAAAGACTCGACAGCGGATTCTCAGGAACCTCCGTCGAATGTTACGCGGTTGACGCGCACTTTAAGCCGCGTGGCAGTCGTCGAAGAGAATGGAGAGAACAAAGAAATTTCTCAAATCGTCTACTACCAGAAAGGCGTTGGGACCGGTCTAGCCGACAAGTATTTCGGAGGTACGGTGTCTAGATGTCGAACCCGACCAGGTTCCATGGGTGTTTCTGATTGATGTACTAGGTGTCGCCGGGATCGGAATCAGTGCGAACGTTCGCGCGGCCTATGGCTTTCTTGTGGATAACTACGAGGAGGGTGATAAGATCTACTTTTTTGGATTCTCACGCGGTGCTTATACTGCCAGAGCGATTGCGGGTATAGTCTGTGAACTAGGGC